GTCCGGACACTGTTGGAACTTGTACATTTAAGGGTACTGACAGGATTGAGGGAAATCGGAAGGGCTGTTAAACTCAATGAATTTTAGTTTCCTTATAGAACAGAAAACTGTATATCAGAAGAGATCAATGAAATTCTGTTTTTCCTTGTTAGCAGAAACTTGCGGAATAATTTTTTAGTGGCAAGTAGTTCAATTTTTACCCACAGAATTCCAGGTTTCATAGTTTTAGACCCATTTTTGACATTGAGTTTGTATGAAGATTAAGATAAATACAAACAGACAATATTCAAGTCTCATATGCCCTCTCTGCGTGTCTGTGAGCAGATTCCTTTAAGCCTTACTATTATTCCCCACAAAAAAGTTAAAATATTCACTAACTCATTGGCTTGCTGCAAAGATTTAAGTGAATAAAAAATAGAAGCATTATTCCACATGTTAAGAGTAATAAGTGGAATTAAAATATGGGGCTTAAGCAAAAAATATTTAAAATTCATATATAGAAGAGGCTTTCAAAAGGTTCATGGAAACTGTGCATTAAGAAACAATTCTGCATAGATTTCACAACATTTTACACCAAAATGAACTTATCCTAGAATATCACTCTCCACACATTTTTTGGAGTCTCCTTTGTGAAGAAATATGCAATGGCTGTAAAAGTGTGTCAGACCGCAGTGGTTGTTATGATATTTACTGATAAACCAAATCAAAGAAAAGAAGATTATTTCTTCTGCTTCACTGAAATCCTGATCAATTCCTTCTTTACCAATTGCACAGAGTGACAACCCTGTAGGTATTTATGAATTTGATATGATTTGTTGGATTTATTGTCTGTGGGTTCACTGTGTTTTTGGGTTCACCGAGTAAGTAAATTCTTTCTTGTTCCTATTTTTGTTTCTTGCTATGCATCATGTCTTCCTCACCAAGAAGGAAAGTGGCGTGTATCTGTTTGGCTAACTCTGCCTTGCCCTCTGATTTGCCTTCTCTTCTTGTGTTGATCTTCATGTCTGTAGGAATGCAGCCCACATGCCCAGCCTGGAAAACACACCCTCACTCCTTTCAGGGCAGGTGTGGGGAATAAGTATCCATTTAGTTTTTTCTCTTTCCACTCTTCTGTCCTTGTACCTTTCTTCAATCTGCAGAACAAAACAGGTTTAAATCCCTTTGGAAATGCACTCCTCTTGTTTCAGGGAGGGGGTGTGCAGCGGCTGGTATTTAAAGACTGAATCTGGCTTTTGAAATGCCATTTTCACTCAGATTGATTCCCAGTTTTTGCAGAAATCTCTGATCAGGGACTTCGGGGCGTGACTTCAAGGTAACTTTGATTTGCAATCATTTAAGCATTCTGAGTTGTAAAAGAAACATATTGGGAAAGGTAAATTCAGTAACAATACATGTGTTACCAGAACACGGCTTTGAAGATCAAGCAACCTGTTATCTACATTTTCATCTGTTTAATGTACTAGTAAATTCCATGGGCGATTTGCCACAAAAGAACCCCTTGCTAGATGATTTATAGATTTTTGGTGCTTTGGTGCCACCTACTGAAACTTAACTAGATATTCCTTTTCATAAATAATAAAAACGTCATTTTAAAAAGTATTTAAAAAGTCACTAGAAGTATAAAGCCAAAATGTTCTGTTATATATATCAATTTTGATATATTTATTTGATATGCTTTTAGAAGATAAGAGAATGCTCAATGCCATGCCCATCTTAGAAAGTTTGATCCCTTCAATGTATTGTCACACACCTGCATGTGCTGTCTTAACTCCCAATGACAGTCCCTGCATTTTCCTTATCTATTTTCTACACCCTCCAGATATTGGTTTTTCTGTAAAACTCACAGATGATAATGATATTATTTAAATTAATATAATCTCCTAATAGAAAATAGAAGATCGTGTTCTAGATATTATATGCTCATTCAAAAGTTTTGTATGAAGTTTGTCTTATCAAATATATAAACATGATAAATGATTATTGATACTATGGTTCCCTTTTAAAAATTACAACAAACGTGGGCCTGGCACAATAGCCTAGTGGCTAAAGTCTTCGCCTTGCATGCGCCGGTTCAAATCCCCATGGCCCCACTTCCCATCCAGCTCCCTGCTTGTGGCCTGGGAAAGCAGTCCAGGACAGTCCAAAGCCTTGGAACCCTGCACCTGTGTGGGAGACCCAGAAGAGGTTCTTGGCTCCTGGCTTCAGATCAGCTCAGTTCTGTCCATTAGGCTGCTTGGGGAGTGAATCAGTGGACGGAAGATTTTCCTCTCTGTCTCTCCTCCTCTCTGTATATCTGACTGTCCAATAAAGTTAAATCTTTAAAATAAAAAAAAACATAAAAACATAATATATCGTATGTTTTATTTTCTTTTATAAAGTCATGGCTTTTTGAACCATTTGGAATTATATCCATTTCTCTAACACATTTAAGATTTATGTAGCCTGATGGATAGCATATGAAAGGACTTCAAAATGTTTGTGGAACATAAAATTTATTTTACTACCAAAATATTTTGAAACTGGTGCACACAAGGTGTCATTCTTTTTGTGAAAAGATTTATTTTTTGTTGGAAAGGCAGGTCAGATTTACAGGGAGAAGGGGGGACAGAAAAAAAAGATCTGCTATCCACCGCTTCACTCCCCAAATAGGAACAGCACTCAGAGCTGAGCTGATGTGAAGCCAGGAAACAGGAGCTTCTTCCAGGTCTCCCACGCGGGTGCAGGGTCCCAAAGACTTGGGCCATCCCTCACTGCTTTCCCAGGCCACAGGCAGGGAGCTGGGCAGGAAGTAGAGCACCTGGGACAGAAACCAGTGCTCATACCAGATCCCGGCACATGCAAGGTGAGGATTTAGTCTTTGAGCCATCACACCAGGCCTGCAATACAAAGTATCTTTATGAAATTCATGAGAATACATATTATTAAACAACTATGCATGGATTTTTAAAGCATATTTGCAGAATTTTTAAATTCTACATGTGTGTGACTTTTATCAGTACCCTCGTACTGGTGGTAAACATTTCTATCAAGAGAAGCAGCTATATAAATAATGTAAATTACAACAAAATCGTCGTGTGATTGATGATGAACAACACATATCACGGTTCCTGCAAGTTGTACCCCCGAATGAGGTGGCCCCTGTCTCAACGGGTGTGAATGCACTCTGCGAGGCTTGCCTGTTGATGTTGCATCGTCTGTTGATTAACACCTCAGGCGCTGTATATATTGTGTATATCTACGTGTGTGTTTATGAATATATTTATATATTTGTGTGTGTGCCCATGCAACATATGACTACATTTAAGTATAAGGGATTAGGAAAAAAGTAGAGAAACAGAAAAAAAATTCAAAAAATACAAGCCACCTAAAAATACATATTATTTCAAGAAATAAGTCAAAGATGGAACCACAGATGGCACCAGCCAGAATTCTGGGTCCTGCACTTCTGCTTTCACTCCTGAGAGGAGAGTAGTTTTCAGATGAGTGTGTGCACAGGAAATAAAATCTCGAGGCAGGACCCTGACTCAAATGCGAGCCAATTACTTCTTCCCTCTGGTGCTGGAGTGCCTTTCCTGTATCCTCAGTTTGCTGTCTGTTGGAAAGAATGAGATGGTCTTTTCATGCAAGCACGGGTAGGAGAACTGACATGGCTTCACTGTTGACTAAATCCAGCTCCCGTCTTACCAGTAAAGCCACTCGGTACAACTTTCCTACACCCTCATGGAAGATGAGCTAGATCTTAGCTAAATCCCCGGATCCTGTTGCTTCTCCGTTTCCTTCTTTAAACACCTTCACCCCTGTAGCCATGTTGGTTTCTTTTCCTCCTACGAGAAAGCAGTGGCCACTGTGGCTCTCTCTCTCTCATACCCGTTGTAGATCTAGCTGCAGATGCCCCATTAGGTCACGTGGCGTCCTGTTTTGGCTCCGTGTCTTCAGGACCCACCTCTGCTCTTCAAGCACCTCAGCCCCAGTATTTACCGTGAGCCACCAGTCTCTAGCTCCACAAGTTGCTTCATATTTTATATGGAATCCAAAACATACTCAGTTTTTCAGTCCCACCCAGTCATTATTTCTTCTCCCGTTCGGCTTGCATTTCCACAAGCAACTTACTACCATTCATTAGAATGCCAGACTATCCATGTGAATGTATTTCTTACCACTTTTTCTCCCACTCCCCTAAACAGTCATCAATTCCTAAGATTTCCAGCCTGGATATCCACTTCCTTGGTGTCACATGGACCCATTTTCCAGGATGGACCTGTCTCCTTTGCCTCCCTTTCCAGATGTCCTTATCACAGCCTCGTCACCTAAGAACCCATTTTGCATTTCATAAAAGAGGCTGATATAGAATTCTAGCATTTCCTCATTTGATCTTCCCTTAAAACATTCCTGTTTTGGCTATTTGAAATTTGCAAGATAAATCTCTATTTCTTTTATTCTCGGACTAAGTTAGATACATGAAATAGATTAAAGCATCCGGTACCTGCCGTGACACCTCCTACAAGGGCCTGCCAACCACCCAGAATCCTCTGCGTGGGTTTTTTGGTCTATTGTGATTAACGTGACTCATGGAGAAAAATGGAATTGCCGTGTATTGGTCGCATTCATTACTAGCAGAAGATATGATGTTCAGCGCACAATAGGTGTTCAAAGAATAACCATTATTTAAATCAGGGAATAGATTTGGAAACCATCTTTCCAGAAGTCTTTTCAGAGACTTTACCGGCTAGATACTGATTCTGATAGTTACAACTGAGTATTTTCTTTTTCTTACTCTGCCTAAAAATTCAAAAATTCATAATGTAGTTTTGATACACATCAGCTTTGTCAACTTAACATGAAGTGAGGAAATATAATTTCACTGGGGTAAAAAAGTATCGAGTTTTGCTACTTTGTTAAAGTTCTAATATAACATGATGGACATGTAAAACTCTGGTTACATTTACACTCATATCAAATTCAAACATTTCTAAATGGCTTCTTTTTTTCCTCTTTTTCAGCGCAAGGTTCAGATACCACCACAGCTGGTAAGAAACAATATTTGCATTTTAAAGTATTTTATTGCTATGAAGTTTATATGTTTAATGCTAATAGATTTTTTCCTAGTCCAAGTAACTTATTTAAGAACAAATTTTATAAAAATGAAGACTTATTGAAATTCATCCATTGTAAAAATTCCTGCTAATAAAATACAAAGATTGAAAATCATCTGTAACTGTTATTAAATGAGTATACATCACTGTGTGTAAACAGCTACTGCTCTCCGACTTGGTAAGCAGGATTCCAATTCCCTTTGAAGATTTTAACGAAGAAAAATTAAATTTAAGTTGGCACACAAAAATGCTGTCTAAATGGATTAAGGAATTTTCTGGAAAATTAGAGAAATATAGATGTAAATAATCTTTACATATATGTGTGTTTATGTAATCCTTTAAGAAATTAAGATATTCTTCTAGTAACCGTTTTGAAATTCAAATGACTCAATTGAATCAAGTCTGAAATAAAAGGGTCCTATTCCTAAAATACATTAAATTTACTGCGAATAAAATCATATGTCTTCTTTACCAAGAGAAATTCATTGTCTTTACCAAGACAAATGAAAGTTCACAAAAAGATAAATCAGTTCACTATAAGGTTGTTATTACTCAAAAGATAATTATTTCCTGATTAATCATATACTGAGAAAAGTGCTTTAAAATGGTGAATGAAACGATTGAAGTAATTATGATTTAATAATCATAATGCATAATTGTAAATGAGGAACATTTGACATATTCTGAAAATTAGATTTTACCGAAATCATTTTGCCACTGAATAAAACTTTGTTTTAGGTGATACAGACACAGAGCTATGTAAATATTGACAAAAACATTCCAAACTTTGCAGGAGCCTCATATTCTTCTCTCTTAAAAGAGGTTAAATATTTGAATGTTATCATCTTACAAGGTTTCATAAAGAAGTACAAGTCACTTGTGACAGCAGATCATGATTTTTATGACTTTATTCACATGTGATTTCCAATCTCTACCGTGTAAAGATTCAGTTCACCTCAGCCGTCTGGACTGGTGATTATTGCAGGACATGGTTGGGTATTGGCAGAATCAGTGGGGAGTGAGGTTGTAGATTCCTCTCACCACCTTGTTGCTTTTCACTGACTCTACATTGACTTTGCTATAACCGAAAATGCAAATGAAAAGTGTCTCCCACACATGACCAATAAGGATGCAACCAAACTGGTACAGTCTCCAAAGGACTTAGAGAGCTGTTCAGGCTCAATGTGGAATTGGCCACTGAAGCATGCATGTTATTTGTGAAGCTGAGAAATGTGCAGTGAGCTTAAGGTACATGCAATAAGATACTAAGAATTCTACATAGGAAAGAAGTTCTCTGAACACTGTCTCATTTTACATCTGGGACTCCATATGTTTGACTAGAATCACTCACTAGGAATACCACTCTTCAAACAACATAAAACTATTAAATGTTGTACCTGGAGGGATTTTACCTCTCATTTCTTTCTATTTGTAAGCAAACATTTTTTAGAGATTTATTTTATTTACTTGAAAGGCAGAATTACAGAGAGAAGGAAGGAGGGAGAGAGAGAGAGAATCTTCCGTCACTAGCCAGAGGGCCATAAGAGCCAGGACTACTGTAGGCAGAAGCCAGAGGGAAGGAGCTTCTTGCCGCATGGGTGCAGGGCCTAAGAATTTGGACCAGCTGGAATGAAGTAGAGCAGCAGGGACTCGAACCAGCACCCATATGGGATGACAGTATTGCCAATGTTCTTGCTGGCCACAGTAGCATTTTAAACACCAGAAAGTTAATCTTGCAACCGTGAACTGAGGAACTAGGCTTTCATGATAACATGAGAACAAATAATGAGAAGAAGTATAGGGGAGTGAGGAAGTGGGAGATGGGGGAGGCAAGGGATGAATGGTCTCAGAAAATTAATAAACAAGTAAAAACTAAATCAAATAGAGAAAAAGTTGGGCCGTTGGAGTCTTGCAACTTTAAGCTGTTTAACCTAAACATACCAAGTTAGCAAGCCTGTACAATGATGATAATTAGCATAAATGGACAGAGGTTTAAGCTGTTGCCTATCCTTTCCTTCCTTCCTTCCTTCTTTCCCTTCTCTCTCATCATTCCTTTTCCCCTCCTTTCTTCACTCCCTGCCTCCCTCTCTTTCCCTATCGTTCTGGCACCTTGCTCCCCTTCCTTTTAGTCAATGTAGCACATGAGAGAATGCTAAACTTCTGAGTTTACATAGAAGGCTGAAGATAGCTGCCTGACAGTCATTTAAATGTGTTTGCATATCATTGTGGGTAAATGTGTGTTAAGTGGATTTGATTGTAAGTTACTTGGTTATAAAGTTGTAGATATTAGGATTTTTCACTCTAACTATTGGGTAATCAACTGGGGTTTGTGAATGACAAGGGGGTCGTGTTGCTTGTTTTATGTATTGGTACTGTGGCAATTTGGTATGATTTGGATGACTTTTACCTATATTTAATTGCAGTTCACTTCACTTTTGCCTCATAATTAATGACTGACACTAGGATTTCTCTGTGTCACTTTTATTTAATTTTTTTTTTACTTTTCCACTCAATAATATCTCAGTTTTAGTTCTCAATACTTTCCTGGTCTACTGCTTCTGTTCCTTTTGTAGAGTACCTGATCCCCTGTTTGCATACTGGTGCCACTAATTGCTCCATTTTGCTAAACTGAATTAAATAAAACCTGTGTATGATGTAAGTTGTTTTGAATTAATCAAATACTTTAAGATGCATAGTTTGCTATTCAAAGAAGTAAAAACATGTACAATCCTATACTTTTTAAGTCCATAGAGCCAAGAGATTTTAAAATTAACAATTCTGTTGCATTTTCCAATTTATTTATTTAAAACTAACTTTCAAAAAAAGTAACCCAAAACACTGGGAAGATCTTTAATTTCTGGTGTTTATTTGCCCTATAGAATATTTTTACATATCTGCACACTAATGTTAATGTGCAAGTGCCTGTCTAACTGCCACAGGGCCATGTTATTCCCATTTCGAATGTGAATTTGAAATGTACCAAAATTCATTTTAGCCTAGAGGCTAAAGTCCTTGCTTTGCATGCACTGTGATCCCATATGGATGCCAGTTCCAATACTGGTGGCTCAGCCTCCCATCCAGCTCCCTGATTGTGGCCTGGGAAAGAAGTTGAGGATGGCCCAAAGCTTTGGGACTCTGTACCCCGCTGGGGGACATGGAGGGGGCTCTAGGCTCCTGGCTTCGGATCAGCTAACTCCAGCTGTTGCGGCTGCTCGTGGAGTGAGTCGACAGATGGAGGCGCTTCCTCTCTGTCTCTCCTTTTCTCTATATGTCTGACTTTCCAATAAAAATAAATATTTTCTGAAAAAGGTGTTTTCCGTGCCGTCTCTAGCAGCCCTGCTGTGGTGACGGCCATGAAGACAATGTGTGAGTGTGGGTTATCTGTACTCCTGCTTGTTAATTGTGCTTTTCAGGACTCACTCACATTTCTCTTACTGTAACTGAATTCATTCAAAACAACAACAACAAATGTCAGTACCTAGAACTGCTGTTTCTTTTTTTTTCTCTTAGAACCATATCTCCTCTAATTTGTCCTATGAATTTATGTTTCCAATTATATTTATATTTCCTTTGTAAATGTTTTACATTTTCTTTAATCATCTACTTGTACTATGGCTCATCCTTCTGTGTCCAGTTGACTGTGTGGTTGAGACTCAGCAGTTGAACGACAAGAAGATGCTATGTTGACGTCCATTTTTTCATCTTTGTTTTAGCCAACTTTGTATCTATGTATTTATATATGACCATGTGCATTAGTATTTTTACATCTGTATTCACATATCTGTATTCACATTTACAAACCCATATGTACAATATACTTCTGCAAATATATGCCCTTTGTCGTGTATATGTGGAGTGCATGTGTGTGTGTGACTCTGTGGCTTATTTATTTATTAGTAAGCTCACATGAGCATACATTTCAGGATGTAATTGATACATTTCTTGTCTTCTTCCGTCTCCCGTTAATGTGACAGGACTGCCTTTAGCAGAGACACCCAGTGCTCTGGCTTCAGTTCTCCCCTCACCTGCTCGCACCACTGCATTCCTACCCACCAGCATCTCTGAAAGAGACAATGGCTCCTCAGAGGCCACGACTCCGCTTAGTGCAGGTAAATGTTCAAGCCAGGCCTCCCTCCAGGACTGTGGACCACACTGGTGCTCTGGAGAAGACAGAGCAACTCAACACGGAAAGGTGCTCCATCCAAGCGGTTTTAGGGTACACTTGTCATTCGCAAAAAGAAAATAAAGTGATCAGAAGGTTTCCCTTTAACTCAGTTGTATCTGCAGTTTCTAAGGATGTTATTTTCTTTGGCTGCATAAAGTGTACAACATATTAGGTGAACATTAAGTAGTAGTTGAGTAAAGTAATGCAGGCCCGTTGCTAGGGAAGGAGAAGGTGGAGGAGGAAGGATCCCCAGGTCGGTTCAGGCAGTCAGGGTTTCTCCAGCTCCTTCTGACTCCTGCGTCCGACCATCCGCCCAGGGACTATGCTCACACATCTCTGGCAGGCTCACACTGCTCTCCAACAGATTGGGAATCCTACAGAGAGGCTCTGTGAGGCTCCTCTATCTGCTACGTCTCCTGAGTCCTCCCATTTCTTTCTTCTTGCCCAGAAACTCATTATCAGAGAACTATTGAAGACAGAAAACTTAATTTTAAAAATTCACTCTGAGGATGAACATTGTCGTTTAAAATGACTGTATCTTTGATCTGGATTGCTCCCAAGAATATTTGCTGCTTGAATTGCTTCCTCAGAATGTTGATGGTGATCATTTTTCATTTTAGGTTTAGCGGTAGATTTGCCTGTCTGTTCAGGACTGGAATCCATAGTTGTGATTGTTCATGCTTTTATAAAATGTATGCTAACATGTCACCTTGTTATGAGCAGGTTTGTAGACAAATCCTGATAAAACAGGGAGGAATTTGAACAGTGTAGCAATGTCAGTTCAAGACAGTTGATGTAGTAAGCAGTTAAGGGACCTTCTTTCATTGATTTCATCATATGCCCGGGCACCATAGCAGGAGAGCGGTTCCTACCTGTGTAAACACAAACATTTCAATCACTTCCTAAAGTGTATCCAAAAGGACTATAAGCAGGAAAGAAGATGTTGTAGAACCTTGCATGTTTGTTGTTTTTTGTTTTGTTTTGTTTTTGGTTGGGGCAACTGAGTTCTTTATTTTAATAATTCTACATTTCCTGATTCATACACAAACATTTTCATGCACTGTTCCCTTTAATTTCTACATGTTAATACTAATAACAACAAACCCATAAGTTTTCAAATAAAGTTGAGAAACTACGATTCAAGTAGAATAGGCTCCACATCAGGATGCACAATAACAAAATGTTGAACTTAGAAATGTTTGTATACCTTCAAATCAAAGAGTCTGTTTTATATTTAATGTTCCAGAATATGATCCTGTTATCAAGTGTTATTACTAGGATAGAACCTGTGTTTATTATTTTCTTAAAGTGTATAATTTGTATTATGGAATGCACTCAGCATCTTCTTGGCTACAGACATACTTGGCGGAAATAATTTAATTTACTTGTCTAATAACACATACCAAAGTAGTTTCTCTTAAAAAATTACAGTCAGTCCTCACAAACACAACGTGAAACTTACATATGCAACATTTTTTTGCAAAAATACTTACTGTATGTTGCGAAACATTACTAGTGAGGAAGTATTTTTGGCATGTGTTCATGAAGTGTGTACACACACACACTTTACATGTACAGTGGAAATGCCATCCTCTCAAAAGTAACCCTGTGTCTTACTGCGCACCCTGCAGGCACTGGGCAGGAGTCTGCGTGAACTCTGTATGGGCTCACGAGTGTACGCACACCTATGTGTGATGGTTTCACATCTCTTTCATCACTTGGTATTACCAAGCTTTTAAAATTGCAGCAGGAAAATAGTTGATTCATGTTCTTCCTAATGGCAGCTTCTTTCCCACATACCCCTTGGCCATTGTATATAGTAAATACATAATTTGTTGGATTAAAAATATATTTTTTATGATTTGAAAGAGACACTCGCATGTGGGAAAACTTCTCTTGTTCTGCCTCCAGAGAAATGTCCTGACTTTTAGTTAGTCGGCAGAGAGGAGAAAGAATGACTAAAGCTTGTAGAGAGCTGGAGAAAGTGGGCCTCTGACTATACGACCCGACCTGGAGCTCCCTCGGGATGGGGGACGGAGCTCCTAAAATGGCGGTGATGCTACAATAGGGTACAGGTGGTAGCTGAGAGCTGTGAACTCAACCCACGTGTCCCAAAAGGGTGAGAAAAATCCAGCCCCTCCCACAGATCACCGCCACTCCCGGGATCTGTGAGAGTAGGAGGCTGGAATCCGAAGCGCAGGCAAGTGTCTTAACTCCTGATACGGGACTATTAGGTCTCTTCATGGTTGGGTAAACTCCAGTAGCCGTTTGCTTCTGATTACCTCGCAGTGCTTGCGTTTTTCATCTGTAGTGGGACAGAGACTAACAAAACCATCTCGCTCTCTCGCCTTAGGTGTTACACCAGCATCGGTGCCCCAACTTCCCAGGCACTCTGACTTGCAGACGACTCCTCCCGGAGCTAACACTCAGACACTCAGCACAAAAGCTGAGCTCACCACACTCACGCCGGTTGCAGACAGCAATGACACATCAGGTTGGCCGGCCCTTTAGAAAACTGCAAATACCCAGCGTCTTACAGCTGCCTGAATTTAAAAGACAGGCAGCCACTTGATCTGCTAGCACTCGCTAGTTGATGAGTGGGATTTTGTAGCCACTGTTGGGATATTAAGCCAGATAGCAAGTGGTCTTCTATTGTATACAAACTTTTAAAACACTGTGAGGTTAAAACAAGAGCCTGTTTGTTGCGAGGCAGTCATTCCGGATATTTATACATTTCTTTATATTTGGGGCAGTTACTATGCAGTGAGAACTTCTTTTTGCTAGTAATATAAATAATGTATGACAACATGAATCTTAATATTTTAGTCTTGTCCTTGTACCAGCTAACAAAAGAGCTGAGTGACTAATATCAAAGAATATCAGGAAATGATCGCAGCAATGAAATTATCCCATAAAGAATGAAAAAAACAGATGTTCATACTCCTTTGGTATCTGTGTAACGTAACAATGCAGAAATATTTCTTTCTTTGTCTTTCCAAAGTCAGTGACCAATTGACTTCATTTTACCATTTTCATACCAGAACAACGTGCTCTACTTCAGGTCAAGAGTCCACATGGTCACATAAATGAGTATAAATGTAGTTAAAGGCATAAATGAAGATGATAAAGATAAGAATTACTGGAACCTATTGGTGATGTTGAGCTATTAATCAAATGTGGAAGTCAAACTAACTAGTTAGGATAAATATTATTTTGGTGGATGAATACTGTTCACTTGGCATAAAACTGTTTAGTCAATCCACAGGTTTTCTGTAACTAGCCTCACCTCCTGTGTTCATGCCACCTACTCTAGCTAAGAACAAGAACCACAGTCAAAAGACTTGGAGCTGGGAGTGAATGCTAGTTCAGAAGCTGTGGATGGAAACAAACTAAAACAGTGAAAGATGACTCACCTCCACAGCTGCTGATCATAGAAACTACTTTGATTTTCCCTGATGAAGAAATTCCTCTTATAATGACCAATTTCATTAATTGCAAAGCTTTAGGGTTGATTCTCCTAATTCCAATTGTAGATTCCATTTCTAAATAATCAGTGAAGTTACCTATGTGTGTAAAAAATTTTGAAAAGGATGGGAATTCTTGACAGGGGCTGCATGGGTAGGGAGAGGAGAAGAGAAGGGAAACGCAGGTTGAAGTGAAGCCAAGCAGATCTTCCGTCTCTTCTGCATGTTCTCCTGTGCCTGGGGATCCGAGGTCTATGTCATTCATTCCGTACCATGGTTGACTTCAACCTGAGAGTGGAATGCTTTTTGAAAACCGAGCAGAGAATTCTAACTCAATTTTGGTGGGAAGTGCAGTTCCAATTCTAATGGAAAGTGTCTGTGTAAACTTAGGGACTGCTCTCTGTCCCTGGAAGATGCCTGCCCGCTCCCCTCAAAGCCCTCTTCATCTATGCACGATGTGTCTCTGCTGCCTGGGAACGTGGCTTCAAACACAAGGCTCATTTCAAATCATTGAACTTATAAACCCAGGGATATTCACAGTAAAATAGCCATGCTTCTCTTGAGTAGGGCTCCCTCATATTTCTTCTGCTTTTTCCATGGCCACAAGCCAAGTCCCAGTAAGTCAGTAGGCACCCTATGATTGTCCATCCACTGCCTGTCTAATTATGGAAGGAGGAGGTAGACTGTGGATGATGAACCATGCAGTGGGTGCCCTAACTAAGTACCATGTCCTTTTCATCAGTGATGACACCAGATTCTTGATCAGTTTGTAGGTGATTGGAAAATAGAGAGATTATGACAGTGAAATGTGCTTTGTTGACCTTTTTTTCTAGCCAGGAGAGTGTACACAGTGAAGGTACAATTGTCACTTCAACTGAGAAGGAACCAAGTATTCTGAACTCAGCTGCTGCACAGGCAGGGGCCTGATCAGTTTTATTTTAAGAACCTGACCAATGAGCCGCTGTCCTTTAGTTTTATCCCCCACGGAGTTGCATCATAGGAGGCGCTCAGCAGGTGCCAGGTTGCTCTTACAGCACCACTGCTCTACATGCTCTGAGCATCACGGAGGCAGCTCCCATGCTCATGCTCTGCCCTTTTGATATCACTGAAGGCAGCGCTGAGCCAGGAGGCTGAGACCCCTGAACTGTGCAAGCCATTTCTCAATATGCCAACTATGTTTTAAATGTGTGTGTTTATTATTATAATGCAGCATTTGTCACCTGTTTTCTGCCTTTAAATTCACCTTCTGCATAAGCCCTCCTGCTGTGATTACAGTTTTGTGGGATGTATGTACTGTGATATAGAAATTCTTGGCTGGGTATCGTTCTGTCTCAGCTGCAGTCATCATTTGTGTTGGCTGCCTGGCTGGTAACCTTGTGTGGCAGGAACCAGTGACAGTACTGATGGCCTTTCTGCTTGCAGATGTCTCAACAGGGTGGACTGTGGCCAACACCTCCCTCACAGTCCCAGGTCTCACCTCTGCAGCCACCCTCAGCCCCGCATACAACAGCTCTGCTGCCTTACCTGCACGCACCACTCACAGCCCTTCCAAAGAGAACTCCTCAGGTTTGATCACGATGCTCTGGATATTTTAGACTGTGGAAAATGAGATGGAAACTCCTAACTTCAACATAGTTCCTATACGTCAAGCTAGATGTTATTCACAGGTTTTCTGAATTACGAACTTTCACACTGACATGGAATTAGGTGAAATAAATGTGTCCCTAAGCTTTTTCTGTGTCATATCTTAAAAAATAAGGATATGAATATATTCTATTTTATTTTGACTTTTACAAATGTTTACAACACAGCTGAATAATCGGCAGACTTGGGGGTCAGATGGCCCTAGGATCAAGTCCAGAGTCTTCAGATTTCTAACTGATTTGGGATATTATTAATACGAGGGCACTTCACAAACTCTGTGGGAAAGAATAGATATAAAACGTAAGTTTATTTGAATGTTCTAAAAATGTGAAGTCTATGGATAGCACAGCTTTTTCATAGCATGCGTTCCCATAGACTTTCTCAAGAGCATTTGCATACATGTGGTTAAAAAATCGAGAACAAAATAAAGCTACCTTTTATCCAGTTTCTGTGACCCTTTTTAAGTTATCCTGGTACTTTCTGAGGTTCAGTTTTTCCTTCTGTAAGCATGAACATAAGATGATTCATTCTGTAAAGCTGATATGAGGACTGAATATATGAAAACTCTGGTATGCAATTCATATTACCAAGGGGTCATTATTATTATTTAACATTGAAAAGAAATAGAGTGATTCTTAAGTAAGAAGGAATAGTTTGAGGATGATTGCATATCAGGTAAGAAATATATCAACAAATGAATCATTCCCTCTAAACACACACACACAAAAATTAGTTAAAATTAGGTGGATTCTTAATATGAAAAGGCTAGTTGTAGTTTTGTATTCACTTTATTTTTGAAAACAAGCAAATGTTGATTCAAGTGAGGACCCACAAAGCAAAGATTCTATTAGGAAATCATCTTTGCTAACAAGTTTTCTCTGCTCTTCAATATAACAAGGTCATTAACTTTTCCTCTTGTGTTCATTTCCTTGCAGATTCCAACTCTGCATCCACTTCACCACCCACTCCAACTGCAGCAAGCACTGTCACTCCAACTGCAACAATAGGTGACAACCTGACCCCCAATCATGCAATCATACTACCACCATGCACCTGGGCTGGGCTTCCAAACTGGTCTTCAGCCTGTTCTACCCGTGGCTGCTTGGAAAAAAAATTCTCAAGCCGCACGACAGCGGTAGACATTTCGCCATGTGGCAGTGCAGCTACTGTTGAGATCAGGATGTGATGTTGTAACAGCAGCAGCATTTTCCCAGACTGTGTCCTTTATGAAAATGCCCATGGGAAATAACCAAATCCACTAGAACTCTCATCTCTATGAGTGGGCTAAGGCTGGGACATGGAAAGGGGCTGCACAATCCAAGTGAGAGGAAGCAGGTCACTGACTGCTCAGCTCCATTTAGGTAGCTACAAGGCCTGGCAGTCAAGGAGATGGGCCACATGGGAGGGCCACGATAATCAAAGTGTTGGTGGGCCAGCAAAGGCAGAGCCAGCCAGCCCACCAACTGAAGACGAGATTATTGGAGATAATAATCCACATTTGTATTTCTTCTCAACTCTTCAATTGAACACATCTGCTCATACAAGAATCTACTTAATGTGTTGAGACTACATTTATTACCCTGGATCTAATATATAGGTAGCAAGCTTGCAAATGTTAGAAACTGAAGCAGTCCTTATGCCTGAATGTTTTTCACAACAAAAATATGAACTTTAGTTTTTAGGGACTGTAATCATAGAAATCTATTTTGAGACCAACCAAGGAATTTAGGATTTGTTTGTATGTGTTGTCATGACACAGTGAGGTATGCACCAAAAAGATCCACTAATGTTATGATCACAATTATATTTGTTGTATGAAATAATGAAAAAGTACTATAAAACTTGCTGGTTATAATATTGGAAGCCTTGAAGCCAAAGCACTGAACTAGGCATACCATGCGTTATCTATTAAACCTAATAAAAAGAATTCCTGCAGTTGAAATATTGTGAAGAAAATACCTGTAGCAGACATATTCTTAGATGACATTTTAATCATTTGTATTCTTTTTATCTCTATCACAGAACCTACTACAAGTCTGCCAGAATGTGGTAAGTTTGTTTGGGAGACATGTACATCCCTCTGTTTCTTCATTTCAAGCTTTCTAGATCCATTACTTATCTAAATGATCAGCTCTTATTTCTCACCAACAAATGACTGGCTCTACATTTTAATACAAAAGTTTTATCTATCTGTCTTATTTATTGGAAAGGTAGAGTTATAAAAAGAGGGAGAGAAAAGGAAGGAGAGAGGAAGAGGGAGAGAGAGAGATCTGCCACATGCTGGTTTAGTCCCAGTCACAACAGCCATGGCTGGGCCAGGTGCAATCCAGGAGTCTGTAATGGAGCAGTTAGAAATCCCACCAGTGCCCATAGCGTGATGCTTACTTCTCATGGTTTTTGATACATCTTGCTGCTTTCTGGCTGTCTTTTGTCCAGGTTTCCTTGTGCGCCACTCCTCCTGGCAGTCCCAACTCAAGTCTTCACGGATAATGGGCAGTGCTCCAAACACATGCTGAGTTTTCCTGCTTCTGTGTTTACTCCTGCTTTTTTTTCACATTGGGATTCTATACTACCCTCATTTGTCAACCCTTTTCTGTTTGTTTGTTATGTTATGCTTTATCTTTTAGACACAAACTTTGTCCAACTCTTTCAAAAATGCTCTCCAATTTGAATGAATTTCTGTCTATTTGTTTTTTGCATATTTTATATTGGGCATCTGCATTTGTTCTGCATTTCAGTCCATGTTTGTATTCATGCTGGAATGTACTTTTCTAAAAGCTGATCTTATCTGACTTGTCCTTGTATGCCCCGGGTTTGGGACAGAGTCTTAAATATTACAAGGCTTTCATGACTTCAGCTAAGCAAATTGAGTGGACATATGAATTTTTAAACAAAATTATCTTTACCTGTCAGTTGAAATTGCTCAAAATAAAGAAAAGTAATTAGTAGCGTTTGTTATCAGCCAAAGTTTACATAACAAAGGCATTGAATGAGGACTTGTGGTCTCAGAGTAATTACTGTTCCACGTATTTGGAGCAATATTATTGCATTTTAGAAGACAAAGGAGATTATAAAGCATCAACCGCTAACATATCATATGAATGGAACCAAAGTTATGGGATCAGTGTAGCTTAGTCTTCATTCTCATGGAATTTATAAGACATTTTGAAAGAAAGGCATTAATGCCATAATCATCTTAATATGAGCTTACACGCTGGTACTTGATAAGGAAAGTAACGGTCATTATGAAAAATGATCGGGAGATACAGGAAGTATTTCTTCTATTTGTGTGTGTGCGCGTGAGTGTGTGTGCGTGTGTATGTGTGTGTGTGAGTGTGTGTATGTGTGTGGGAGTGTGTGTGTGAGTGTGAGCGTGTTTGTGTGTGTGCGTGTGTGTGTATGTGTGTGTGTGAGTGTGTGTGCATGTGTGTGTGAGTGTGTGTGTGTGAGTGTGTGTGTGTGTGTGTGTGTGTGTGTGTGTGTGTGCCTGAGTACATTTTCTTAGTGACTGGCAGTTTTGAAAATAAACATCAAGACTTGCATTTCATATAGTATGGAACTATATATAGTATAAAACACTTTGAAAAAAAGATAATCTTTTGTTTTGCTTTCTTTCAGCTGAAAAATATGCAAACATCTCTGTGACTTACAGCCAAGACACAAACACCAAGTTATTTACAGCACACCTGAATGTTGAAGAGGAGGTGCAGTGCACACCTAATTGCACAAACAAATCAATACCTGAACTGAAAGCATGTGACAATCGCATGGTTAATATTTCTCACTTATGTACTGGAACCATGGTGTTAAACTTGACTGTGCCACCAGGTAAATATCAGTTTATTCCTATTTGTGTATTTGCAAAAAGCAGGACAATCCCATGCGTGCATGTGCTAGTGGTCACAGGAACCAGTGTGGTGAGAGACCTGAGCTGAGAAAAACAAAGCCAGCACTGAGTTCACTTCCTGTTCTCCAACTCCAGTAAACACCAGAGAGTGACTAGGGTCTAATGGTCTTTAGGTCGCTTCTTTGCCTCTCACACTGCCGTTACAGAAAACCTCAAGTGCATTAACTCTAACTTGCCCCAGCAGAGATTGTTCATGATCACTCAAATATGTACACGTTTATCCTGTTGGATAGGATAGCTGTTCTCGGATGCATTTAGGAAAAAAATGCAAATTTAGGGGTTTGATGTTTATGGTGAAAATCATATACTTTCAAAGAAAGCAGTGTTAAAATGAACTGAAGGAGAAGCTCTTTCTGCTGGTTAAGCCATTGCCTGGCAGGAGAAGGGGTGTGAGGTCGGGAACAGACTCCTTCAAGGAACCTATGCTAGGAGAGAAGTGTTGTTAAACAGGTGTCACGTTGCTGTGCAACTGAAAAGTATTTTGCATCCTTTGTCAGTTTAATATCATTGAATAATATTTATGCTAAGATACATCTTAGAAGTACGCATTTAACTTACTCATTCCCCCTTAAGTAGTACTGAAATAAGTCATCTGTTGAAAATAGAAAATGACAATACTTACAAATTCATTCCCCAGAAAGAAGATCTCTAATGTTCTGTGCAAATAGCCATTACAGTAAAACCTAAAGGGTAAATAAAAATTGAAGCATAAACACATAAAATTAAATGATTGTTTTAAAACGTGCCAAAGCTACAATTTTCTAGATATTTGCTTGAGTTTCATTTTAAATGTGACATAAATTTTAAATGCTGCCAAAATAGATGGTGTGAGAAAATTAAAATATTTTAAAGAACCTATGAAACATTTGCATAACGATGAATAAATATCTGAAGTCCTAGATCTGGTAATTATCCTTATTTGATCATTACACAGGGCATGTAAGTACCCCAGGATTACATTGTTTTCATAGACCTGTATAATCATTATGTGTAAACACACTAAAAGTAACACTAGTAATAAACTGAATAATGAAAGAACACCAAACCATGAGTGCTACCATATTAAAGAAAATCACAATGCTTGCCAAATCTTATGTGGTGGGTATAATGTTAGTGATTTTTAATTGAGAAGATGAACAAGTTGTGAAATATTAATCAAGCCTATTTCTGTGTCTCCTTCACAGAGCGTGAAATGTTTCAGTTACATAACTGCACCGCAGCTGAAAAAGCCAATACATCTATTTGTTTACAGTGGAACATAACCAACAACTTTCAGTGTGATAGAAAGAAAATTAAGTACAGCTTTGACTGTGGTAAGAACATTACACTGATCAGATCATTCCATGTGTGGTACGTGGCTGCTTCTCTCGGCCTCCTGTTTCACTCCCTCTCACTGATGCAAAAGAAGACCTGAGAATGTTCACAGTCAAGTCATTTTATTATCTATACCACTCAACCAAATTCACAAATAGATAAATATTCATCTTGACCTGTGGAGATTTTAGTTCGTTTATCAAAATTTTCTTGGCACTTGCTCTATGCAAGCGCTGTTGAAACTGTTGTGTGGGAGTGAAGTGGCACGCATTCTGTGTTAGAGAAACAGTGCACTTCATCCATCCTCCGTCAGGAACCACACTCAAGTTCAAGCAATCTGATGCCAGAAAAATAGGAAAAGCATTCCAAGTGCTTCTGGTGATGAATTTGGCTTTATGAGTTTTTATTGAATGGGATAAAGTCTCCGATTGCATGGCAGCAAACTGCCTGCCAGGTTGTATTTGGCAATCCATACTGATGCCATAATAATAGCAATGATATTAATAATAATAATAATTTTCATTATTTTGATTTATTATTTGGACAATTTTTGCAGGTTTTCTTCCTGAGAGATATTACAATTCTATAGATATGAATTAAAAATTAAGTTGTGTGAGATATTATACTAATATTCTAATGTGACATAATTTATTTCAGGTACCTCTGGTCTATCTCACAAGAATAAAATTGAGTTAACAGGCCTTAAGCCCAACAAAAACTATACCTGTGACTTACAAGTATCTTATGATAACTACCAGCTTATTCAAGAACAAAGAGTGATTACAACAGATCTTGGAAGTAAGTGTACTACTTACATTGTATGTAAAACTGCTTTCTGTTTTATCACCATTATTATTTTGAAATCACGGAAAATGAAGATACAGATTGAGAAAACAGATTTCAGAAATCAAATTTCTAACAGCTGAATTTGAGAACTAATTTGTACAACTCCCAAACAGTTTTTCTTTTTTGAAAATTGTAGGCTCTTCAGAAATTGTGTTGGGAGCAAAATTTTGAGAAAAGTAGAATGCTTTGTTGTCTGTTTTGGTGTCACCCCCTTGGTCTTGCAGTAGTTTCATTGACTTGCTGTACACCTGCATATTCTCCACCATGTCAGATCCCACCTGTCTCAGAGTGAGCGAAGAAACTAACCATATACAATCATAAATATAAGCACTGAAGGAAAAAAAAATCACTACCAAATATTCCAGGAACACAAATGAGAGTATACTGCTTACAAAATACAACATTTCAACATTGAAATGTTTAATGACAACAGAAAAATAACAGAGGCTCTCAGAAGATTGAATAGGAAAAAGTGAAAAGGCTCTAACATTCTAGTTTTTAAATATAGAGATTGCAATTAAATGTGCACTTGGATGGAAAATTCTGTTGTTAATGTGATGATTTGTGAATAGCAACTGTCCAAGTACAAGTAGATGGTGTTGCTTATGGGCAGGAGACTCAAGTCATGGAGTGGAAGTTTGCCTAGAGGTCAGGAGGAGCTGACACTGGAGAAAGGGCAGAGGAACACTGACACGTGATGACAGCTCTTCAGGCAGATAGACAAACGACAGGCAGAAAGAATACTACGTGAACAACAGTGGTAAAGGAACAGAAACATCACGGTATGCCAAGAACCACAGTGAATACCAGCGAATTACAAAGGTGCTCAGATTTGAGTAAAACAGAAACATATTGTTGCCAGAATCTGTAGCCTTAAGGAAGATGACATGATATTTTGGAAATTATCACTCAGCTACACAGTCATTGAAAATCACCAGAAAATATTTGTCTAACAAATGCAAAGATAACAAAAGGGAGAAAAAAAATAGAGTACAGCTTACTGAATGAGGAAAACATTAAAATAACAAAATTTCATTGAAAAATCCAAACCAAATTCAAATGTCATAATGAAGTAGCCAGATATCTGGTAAAAACAGCCTTTCCCGCCATCCACCTGTTTCCCAGGATCACATACCCTTTAAAACAAGAAAAGGGAGCTTTACAGAGTGGAGTCAACTGTTCAAGGGCAAATCATTTTTATCTTATCCAAATGTTTCCACATCATAGAAGATCGGTAGATAGATAGATAGATACTTTTAGTTTTGGGATGAAACATGTGAGTCCTTCACTTTTGTTCTTCTTTAAGTTCATTTTGAATATTCAGAGACCAATGAATTTCATAGAAAATTTGGAATCAGCTTCCCGGTTTCCAGAGTTCAGCTGACATTCAGAGATTGCGTCGAGGGTCTGCAGCGAATTGGAGAGTATTTGCACTTGACGGTGACAGTCTTCCTCTCTATAAACATGGGATGTGTTTTCATTAGCTCAAGTTTCCCTTAGTTTATTCAGCTACTTTATGTTTTTGCCGTTCTTTTATTAAAATTATTTCTACATTCATTTCATTGTCATATTTTTCATTAATAGAGTACAGAAATAATATTGATTTCTTTTTATGAAATCTGTAAATGTGCTATACTACTTATTATATTTTGTAAGATTATGATATATCATATTAAACTGATTTTACATTTAATTTGTAAGGGACACTTGAAGGCTAAAGAAAATTGCTAAATTTATGTCTCCCCATAATCTTCCAAAATAATTCAAACCCATAAAGGGAGTAATGTTAAACAGATAGAACTTTGTGTTAAGAAATAAAAGTATTATGGTCTTTATACATCAATGTAAAACAATAGAAATCTCAGAAAACTTCAATATATTTGATAAAAATACGAACATATTTCAGTGGGGGCAGGACAGCCTTTCCGACAAATGTCCCTGGTGTCCCCAGAGGGCAAGAGAATCAAACTTTACCTTTCAATTAGCAAAACATGAAATAGAAACTGGCCTAGAAGTTGAAATTATAATAAGTCTCATCAAATACATTGGAGAGCAGTTTTCTGTCATTGTCATAGGCAAATGCTACAGGATACACAAAGCAGGAACGTCAGTAGAGAAATCTGACAAATTAAACTTCGGCAAAATGGAACATTCTTGCTGTTTGAAAGCAGCCACTAAAGGAATAAAAGAGCAAGCCCGTGGATTACAAAACACAAACAAAGCAAAGCAGAAAATTATCTACACTTACTTTTTTCAACAAAGTATCTTTTTAAAATATATTTAGAGCTCATTCAGATCTGAAATAATTTATCAAATTAGCCAATTAACAAACAATACAAATATTTTACATATATACCTTACAGAAGCAGATACATATCTGTCTAGAACACATCTAAAATGACGTGAAGTATCATTATGCATTTTGCAAATGTAGATTAAAATGAGATGATAACATTCCACATCCACTCAATTATTAAAATTACAAAAGTGAGAAGTAATGAATCAGAAATTAACTACGGTCACAAAGGACAAGCAGATTAATCTATCAAATATTGGCACCGACCCGAATGTCCACTTAGAGTTGAATCACAGATAAAACAGGCGTAACTTCACAATGGAATGCTACTTCCCAGTACAAAAGAAGTGATTTGTGAAACACACAACGAAATAAATCCAGAACATTATGTGAAATGCTGGGCATCTACAAGTGTTTCCTGTTTGTTTCATTTAGCTAAAATGTAGGAAAGACACATGAACGTGACATAGCGGGATGCGGGCTAGATGGGAAGGGATGGCAGAGGATTTCAGGGATGGCAGAGCTGTTCTCTACCTTGAACAAACCAAAGTTATGGGAGCAATCAGAAGCAACCAGCAAATCAGAATTAGATTCCAAAATGCTGCCACACTGGAATGACATTTACTCTGCCAAAGTAATCTGCCCTAAAGCAAAGCTAATGAGAATGGTACTTTTTCTTTACATTTCATTATTAACCAAAATCTGGTTATTAATTATGAATGCCATCAATAATATTTTCTCCTTGTCTCACTTTTCATATTCTATATTCTTATACTCTTTACAGTTCCAGATCAGCCCACAATTACTTGTGAGGTGAAAGGTGCACATGAAGTGATGGTGAACTGGACTGCTAAAGGTGTACTCAGTGGATACACACTTTGTAATGTAGAAGGTAAATGTGTCAAATTTAATTGTTGGAGAAATGAAGAATTACTAGAAATGTGCATTGAGCCACAGAGCCGGGGAGCTCTCGGCATGGACTGTGGTGGGCACCCTAATACCTTTGGTTTTGCAACCACTTCCATGTACTGAGGGTTTCCACTCCCCGAAAAGGCTGCAACTCAGGTCTCCCATGCTTACATGCCTTTCTTAAGATGCTCGAAGATGGTGCTCATTTCTGGCTGGTAAATATCTATCAAATCAGAAAACGCCTTCCAAATCTTAGTTCAACTATGACACATGTGGGTATGTGTCCAGTGTCACAGAATCTTGGAGCATAGTTTATAGTGAGACTCCTGCAAAAATAAAGTAAGAAAATAAAACGTACAAGCTATATAAACTATATATATGTATATATATAGTTACATATATATATACATATATATATACACACCCACACACACGTATAAACTAGTCTGATCGTGAAATCTCCTTGGTGTATCAGCATAGAAGCTGCTGGAAGAGAAACTCATCCACATCTTTCAAAAACAAGCTTGGGCCGAGCATGGTAACCTAGCGGCTAATAGTCCTTGCCTTGCTTGCACTGGGATCCCATATGGGCGCTGGTTCTAATCTTGGCAACCCTGCTTCGCATCCAGCTCCCTGCATGTGACCTGGGAAAGCAGTAGAGGATAGTCTAAAGCCTTAGGACCCTGCACCCATGTAGGAGACCCTGAGGAGGCCCCTGGCTCCCGACTTTGAATCAGCTGAGCTCTGGCCATTACAGCCAGTTGGGGAGTGAATCACTGGATGAAAAATCTTCCTCTCTGTCTCTCCTCTCTGTATGCTTGCCTTTACAATAAAAATGAAATAAACCCTTAGGGGAAAAAAAGAAATTTTCAAAGGAGATAACTTAGGAGAACAAACTCAAGTTGGTGGCTAACAGTGGGAGCGTGTGTGCACAATCTCAAGCCACGCTCAGCTCCTCGGAAAGCCCCACCTTCACTCACACAGTGGGAGCAGGAGCGCGGCTCTTGGCACTGCACACTCACACGTGGTGGGAAGGAACCAAACAGAGACTCAAAATATGAGAAGTTAAAATGCTATTTCAGTGTATTGCTTTATATGTTTTTAAGCATTTAACCATTGTTCATTTTAATGGCAGAGTGACAGGGAAGGAAGGAGAGTGGCGGTGGAGTAGTGATGTAGAGCTCCTTCCGCCCTGTGTTTGATACTTAGAGCTACCTACATGCAACACTTGTAGGGGGTTGGAAGGAGAGGTGATGGAGTTATGTCTGTATCAGTGCCTTTCAAGTAAAAAGAAAAGGAATTTTAAAAACCTAAGGGGATACACCCTTAAATGGTTCCTACCAGTCTCATGCCTCTCCAGCCAACCAGCACCCACGATCCTAAACTTTAAAACCTCTTTCATTCATTTGCAAGAAACAAGAGCATTTTTCTCTCAACTCCAGCCTCTCAGATACCAGTGCCAGAGTGAAGGTTTGCCCCATTCTCACCACTCCATGAAGTCCTGTGGTGGTTAGGTGAATGTCGTAAAGTAAGCTCAGTTGATAAAAACAAGGATACTTCACCTAAGGCCTGTGATGGTGACTCCTGCCAATGTTCAAAGTACTGAGTTTAAGTTACAGAAAAGTGTTCTAGAAAAAAACATCACGACTCAAGACTACGTGGTATTCACGTGAGCTATGTTGTGTCAGCGAGTGCAGAGTATGTCCACTCAAACGTGCCTGAACATAGTAGATTTTATGTACCAAACTGAAGATTCGAAATCACAATTTTTGAAAACGATGGGTGTATATAAATATTTCAATGGAGTTGCTTAATTAATAATGTGTGCTTTTTAAGTACCAAGGAAGAATTTATTTCTCAATTGCTAATTAATTCAGAATTTGTTTGGAATAGTATTGTATAGACACCAGACTGATTTTGTGGTGGTTCTAGCTTTTAATTGCTTGCTAACTCTTGATTCCCTTAGATCCTAAAAAGATTGATAAGACTGAAGAGAGCTGCAATAATCTGACTAAAGGTGTGACCCAACATTGTTTGAAAGGATTGAAACCTTTTACAGACTATTCTGTAACATTATATGCATATGTCCATGCAAAAGTGACACGCAACGGGATTGCTACCAAGTGTAGCTTCAAAACCCATGCAGCAGGTAAGCCACATATTGTAATGCTCCTTCCTGTGAGAGTGGAGGAGAACAGAGTCAACTTCCAGCCTACATACATCTCCCTTGGAGACACACAGGGAAAACATACTGACTTGGCATAGCGGCTAACAGCTAGAATTTGAATAATTCCAAGTAAAACAATTCTAAACTGTTACCTCAAGGTCCTATATTTTTCTGGTATAGAATTGCAAGGACGGAGCACAGAAGCATGTTCTACAATTTGTTAGCTTTCAGGCAACGGAGTATGTAGCCATGTTAGAATTAATACATGTATATTAAGATATGTAGGTGAGTGATCGTCTATATATGTTATCCGTTGTCTTAATCCAGAAATACGAAATGCAATGAGACGCTAAACACTGCCACGAAACTGCTCCTTCACTTGATAAAATACTTCATAAAATACAGTATTTTGTTGGCATTTTCTTCCGTTGATGATACTGATCTCCCCAATACTTTCTCTCACATTTTCTATTTGAGATTTCTTTTCAGTAGCATTTGGCTCTTGCCACCCTAGGCTATCTCCATGGTGTCCCCGCCAAGGCTCGATCTGTGGTCGGAAGGATGAGAATGTTCACCAGGGATGATGGGGCGGGGGAAAGCGCCCTGTGAAACACAGGGCGTGTGTGATTCCAGAGAGCTAGGATGCAAGGCTATACGGTTCTTTGCTGAATGTCGTGTAAATCCTGCTTTAGGAAGTCCAGGTCCTTGATGGGGCTCTACGCTCTTGTTGCTTTTCCAAGTTTCAATGAAATTCCAGAAAACAGGCTTGTCATTGCTCCTCAAGAATCTAACCAGGTGTTTACATGTGTTATCATCACATCTTCACTGATGTCCTCTCATAAGTTCTTTGCCCATAACCCCGGGATAAATACTTAAACTCCCCCATGTAGTGCACGTATCGGCAAGGATGTAAGTATGCATCTACTGAATGACTAAGATACATTTTTCTTCATGTTGTTAGCTCCAGGCGAGGTCCAGAATGTGTCCATCACCCAGAAGTCAGATAACAGTGTGCTTGTGAAATGCCAGAAACCTGAAGAGATTAATGGCCCCGGCATAAAAAAATACTATTTGGAAGTCCTAACTGGAAACAGCATAGTTAGAAACGAGAATAATACTGTCTGCATGTTCTTGGTAGAGAATCTTCACTACTCAACAGACTATGACTTTAAGGTAAGGTCGTGTTGTCTAGAGCGTTGCACTGCCTGCACACCACCATGATTAGAACTTTGTGATTGAACTTACAATAAGATCACTGCCTAGGAAGTTACATGTGACCCAAAGCATTCCAGACTTAAGAAGTGCTAATGGAAATACTCAAGTATTTAAGTCCGATTTTTTTTTCTCCCTAGAATTAGAAACAACATTTTAATGTCAATATTTTTTGCAAGAATATCTAGAAATCCAGGATGGTTAAATTTGCCTACATTTTTGTTATTTTGCCAACAGGCAATCTTTTAGGCCCAATAGTTTAGTATTTTCTCTTTTTTTATTAACCTTGATTTTTTATATTGATTATTGTGAATTTTTCAATTGGAAGAATAGTACAAATATCACAGGTATATAAAATAATAAAAACAAATTGTAGCATACCGGTGAACAGAGAGAATTAAAACTATGTATAGGGCCTGGCACGATAGTGTAGTGGTTAAAGTCCTCGCCTTGCATGTGTCGGGATCCCATATGGACGCTGGTTCTAATCCTGGCAGCCCTGCTTCCCATCCAGCTCCCTGTCTGTGGCCTGGGAAAGCAGTTGAGGACAGCCCAAAGCCTAGGGAGCCTGCACCTGTGTGGGAGACCCAGAAGAACTCCTGGGTCCTGGCTTCAGATTGGCTCAGCTCCAGCCATTGCTGCTACTTGGGGAGCGAACCATTGGATGGAAGTTCTTCCTCTCTGTCACTCCTCCTCTCTGTGCATTTCAAATAAAAAAATGAATAAATCTTTTAAAAATTATGTGTAATTTTACTGTATACTGAACATATTTTATGTATATAGTTGTACTTTTATAATATGAAATATATAATTATATTATCAAATATATTATTAAAATTACAAATAATTTTAGATACAGCTTGGGAAACTTCATTTTTCATCATCTATATAGCATGCACAATTATCCCCATGTTCAACATTTTACTGTTATGTGCTGCTCAATGGGCTTATAGGGCTTTATCATGAAGTTTTTTCACCTTATATTACTTATAAGCTATGGTGATTGCTAAAACAAATAACATTCAAAAAATGTACCAGCTGATAAATACCAAAATTTTAGCATGTTGTTATGTTAATTGTATGTGTAATTCTGGAAAAAGCATGTAGCTAGATTTCCTTTTAAAACAAAATGTGAAAGTATAGCCTACTTATTAGAACACTTCAACCTTAAAATATGAATACTTCCTGTGCCAGATTCTGTTTTATCATCTAGTTTCATTTACTTAGGCCATTTGTAACCGCTGTTGCTACTAAATGGCACAGTATTTCTTCACATTTTTGGGTCTTTTGAAAATATTTGAAAACAGAAAATGACATGTTCTTGGAATTCCCCCTGTGAATCGCATCTATTCAGTGCATCTTAATGAAAATAATAGCCTTGTGTGAGATGTGTGCTTTAAATTAAGATGAAAATATTTACTTTGGGAAAATAATTCTTATTTTTGTTACTGATATGCAGGTCTATTGTTCCAATGGCGAGTATAACAGTACTAAAGTTAAAATGTCTCAGTCAACATCCTGTAAGTCCTTTTGGGGTCACTTGTTATGTCTGTATAATGTATGCATTAGCTCCTTATAAAGCAACGTTATTTATGCATGTTTACTTACATTTGATTGTTACATGTTGAAATGATGGGCTTTCTAGAAATACAACGTTTAAAAATTTTATAATAAAGATAAATAAGTGACAAATTATATAAAAATGCATTATCTGAAATTCAGACTGGGAGATAGTCACGAAAGTATTTTTATTTTATAAAATACTGTACAAGAGGCTTTGTAATTATTACAGTATAATTATGCTTATAACATTTTTATGCTAGTGCTTTTGTGTACTACTTTAGACATTGTTGCCTATTTTTTTGAAACATCTTTTAAAAGATTTATTTTACTTATTTGAAGGGTAGACTAGTAGAAAGAGCACAAGACCAAGATTTTCTGTCTGGTGGTTCATTGCCCACATGGCCACGACAGCCAGTGCTGAGCCAAGCCTAATCCAAGAGCTTGGAAATTCATTGGGATCTCCCCTCCTGAGATGGAGGGGCCCGGGCACTTCAGCCAGGTACTGCTGCTACCCAGGCTCTTAGCAGAGAGCTGCATGGGAAGAGAAACAGCTGGGACCCAAACACATGCTTACAAGGGCTATGGACATCTCAATAAACAGCTTAACTCTGTGTCACACCAGCCACCTTCTCTCATCCCATCGCTACCTGTCATCTATGCATCTCATTTCTATTCCATTTTGCTTGGCATAACTATCTGAAACTGAAGTCTTTTCTGATTTAAGATAGCATGGGAAAAAACCTGTGAATTAAATTTCATTGTAATAATGAAAATAATTGTGGCTATTTGCATTCTTCAATTTTTTTTTCTTGCTTGCCAGAGTAACCACCATTAGCCATTTTGTTGTTTTCCATGTAATTTTCTGCATGACTGTATGAACTACTCTTTGTGGCTTGCTGGCATGAGCAGACACAGTTTTCTGAGCTCAGATTCACTTGTGCTGCAGCACAGTGTTGCCACCAAAATGAAGAGTCAGCCATTCTGACAGGTGTCTGGCCTTTGTTTGTGTTGTTTAGGTTTTAGCTTTTCCTCCTGTGTTTTCTACTCTCTGAAACAGGTGAAACCTATTATTCTGACTTACCTTGTGTCATTTTCTCTGACAACATGGATTTATGCTCTTTCAGTGTTCTCAAATTGAATTTTTAGTTTGTATTACAAAGAAGACCTTATTGACTCCACTACATGTAGACTTCAACAACAACAACAACAAATTAAAAGAACATTCACCTGGAGAAAAATAAGCAAGGGCAGCAAAAACAATAATTAAATAAAAACAAGGTCTAGTTGGCTCTTGAAGTCAATTATGAAAGTCAGAAACCCATTAAAATGATAGTAGTGTAAAGAAGAGGTTGGATAATCACATTTCTGATAAATGCTATCCACAAAATCTGGAACTAATCATCTTTAATTAATTAGATATACACAGAGGTGCATAGATATAAATGTGCTACTATAGCTGACATAATTTAACAATTTTATTGAAAGGAATTTGAGATAGAGGAAGACGTGAAATACGTGGGGTTGTCTCAGAAGCCCTTTTCAGCACAAGCATCTTCCCTAAATGCTTGCATTGCAGTCCAGCCCTTGACATCATTTTTCCACGTGTGCAGCTTGAATTAGTAGCCCCTTAAAGAAGAGAAATGAATTCCTATTTTACGGACTAGGAAGCAAGGCTATATAATTTAATCAACATGCTCTGTGCAATGTGTCAGAGAATCGGTAGGGTCGAATTTTGAACTAGGTTCTGATAATTCCGAGCCAAAATTGAATTCATAAATTCCCATTTTCATGCTTATAGTGATAAAAATTCTGAGCATGAGGCCATCCGCTTGGCAGCTGTTAACTGCGTGGTGTCTTTTCCACCTTTTGGATTGTAGAAGACCTATTTCATACTCCAGCCATTCCTTGTCAACACAGAAAACATCTTTTATATTCTTTCCACCTATTTTCTAGAATGAATATGTGTATATATATATATATATATACACACACACATACACACGTAATGCAAATATGCATATTGCTTAGTTTTCACTTGTTTGCTTTCCTCTCTATTGTCTGCTTCTTGGAGTTTTGTGACCTGGAATTGCTTTCCAATTTGTTTTTCTACTGCCCTTCTCATCTTCTAACCTACTTACCATTTGTTTATTCTATTCAGTGTTCGTTGTCTTCTTTTCCTCACTAGTAAATAACTGTCACGGGCACAGAGATCTTTGTTTCTCATAATGTCCTATTTCTAGATCCGTGTTTGACAGTGTGTGTGTGTGTGTGTGTGTGTGTGTGTGTGTGTGGTGAATAATTAATATTTAGATTCTATGTCCCAGACACTGTTCTCTGTTCTCACTGTGGACCAACTCATTTAAACTCATTTTAGAAATTAGGAAGCAAAGGTACAAAGAGAAGGATCCCAGCCAGGTTCCCAACTTGAAAGACGCTAAGGCCCCAGGCAGTATCTGCAGGTTCCCTCCATGTATGGGTTGTGGGGCACACTGATACAGTGCAAGCGATGACTCAGACACATTGTGTTGTGGAACCCTTCCTCAGAAAGGGGGAGGCTCCGCATTAACCTTAGAGGAAACTGAAGCCAAGGTTCATTCTAACCGCAGAACAAATCCATTTGTCTCTTGGTCGATTGATTCCCCACCTCAGTGTCAACACAGGAGTGCTTATCCCTGCTTGTGTCGCCTTTCTGATACCCTCAGGAGGCTGGTCACTCTACACATAAAGTGAAACTGAGTGACTTTCTCTGGATATTATACTACACAGAAAAATTGCAGAAGCATTTCATTTTTTCCAAGGAAGTGTTGATCATCTCACAGTAATTGAAAAATAATAAGTTCTTTTAAGTTGATTGTACAAAGAACACAGCAAATATTTGACATAATAACCTCTCCTGATGTACCATTTTAAATTTCTAGACAATTCTAGAGCGCTGATTGGTTTCCTGGTATTTCTGATCATCGTGACATCAGTAGCACTGCTTGTTGTGCTCTATAAAATCTATGATTTGCATAAGAAAAGATCCAGGTAAGAACTGATCTGCGAATATTGAAATGATAATAGTGATAGATATCGATGCAGGTGCATAAAATAAGGCATCGACAGAAAATAAAACACAGGAATGGGGAAGGTGGTGCGATGTTCAGTCTGTGGCAGGAGTCTTGAACTCAAGAAGCAGAGACAAAGCAAACAGACAGCCAGGTCCACTGCTCCACTGCCCAAGTGCTCACAAAGACTAGAGACAAAAACTCCATCCAAAGCTCCCAGAGAGGTGGCAGGCATTCCCGCTGCCTCCGCAGTTCACCAGCAGCAGAAAGCAGGAGTTGGGATCTGGTCCTGGAACTTGAACCTAAGCCCTCTCACATGGAATGTGGATATCTCTGTCCCTGTCCGAACTTCTACTGCAGTGACTGACCTTAGGGTCAGGGACTTTAATGTGGCTGTGTAGATGTCATATAAGTATTAATACTTGCTGTACATTCCAATGATGTTATAAATGTGTTTTACCAATACATAATAAGAATTCATGTCTGTTGTGGCACAAGAGGGTCAGGGGCATGTATGAATGATGAAAGAAAAACTAGGAGGGCAGCATCTGGGGAAGTGTGTGTATTGCTTGGCTAGAAACAACCATAATTTATGAAACACAGGATTGTCAAACAAAATTGCTTGGCCACTTCTCTGAGTTTAGTAGATGATTCTGGGAGTACTTTACCTTATTCTGTTCTTCCTCTCCCTCTTATCACACCTGCCCCCTTTTTTTCTGTCCTTCCTTCTCTGCTTTTCTCTCTCCCTCCTCTTTCTTTCTGGGATTTGTTCCCTCCAACACATTCATTAAATAAAATCAATTCCATTATCATTGAATGTCAACTGATTTGTATGTTTTTAAGAAAATATAATCTTGTGTTTATTTATTTCATAGCAACTTAGATGAACAACAAGAGCTTGTTGAAAGGGGTAAGTGTGTGCATTTTTACTGGTGAATATTCCATTCCTTGCATTTATGTCTATTTGCCTTAAATAACAATTGGGTACTTTAAAAGGAATTTGCTCTAAGACAACGCTGAAACTTAAAATTCTTCTGCTTGTTCAGCAAAGGTCGGTGAGATTCCCAGTGTTGGTCACATGTTGTGCCAGGTACTGAGGCAATATCAGACACAGTCATTGAAGGGTTAGGGATTGAATCAGGAAAGGAAGATAGACATTGACAAATAAGATAGTATTCTGGCAAATGTCCTGGTGACTGAATGATGATGATGATCAAGACAGAAGAGAGAACACTGGATGTGGGGAGGCAGAATGTTGCCTGTTGAGGCTGTGGGTAAGCAAAAAAGCCCATAACCATCGGAGCGGTGGAGGGTAGGTGTGCAAAGCCACAGAGATGCAGGCAAGCAAAATGATCCCACTGTGGTGCCATGGCGCCAACTCCCACTAAAGGAAGATTTACGCATGAGGAGAAAGAAGAGCAATTGGACTTTAGAGAAGATAGCAGAGTTCTGATTATCTCTTATTTATTTTCTACCTTTTACATTATTTTTCTCATTTCCTTAAAAAGTGTGAGCCAGTAAGAACAGATGGCATTGAAGACACTGAAACTATGTTTGGAACAAAGAAAATTTCAGAATTCTTATGCTACCTTATGTTTGAAAGCTATCCTCGGGCAATAGCAAATAGCAATTCTGTGAGCCAGAACATCAGGGCTAATTCTTGGGAGCTTCTTCCTAGATGTTCACTTCCTTTGCAGGATGTGCCTTAGTAAAATAAATTTACTATCTTTTGCTTGCTAGGATATAACCTGCAGGAAGGCCAAGAAGTTTTCTTTCATACTCCCTGTTTTAAACTCAGTGCCTAATGAGTGAGTGTATTTGGGCTTTGATGAACAATGCAATTCATGCAATCATCTCTCCTAAAGATGAGTTTTGATTTGCTGAAGTTAGAATGCAGGATGAGGGAGAAAAGAGGAGAAACCATTTCCAGGAGTCAAAGCAGGTTAGGAGCTGTCAAAGACATAGCTTATCTCAGCATTGATACTGGCACAGATTGCACTGGGAAAGCATGCAGACTTCACTGCCCAAACCCCATAAAAACCCAAAAGCGACCTTTGGTTCAGGATGAATGGGGATCAGAGACCCTGACAAGCCAGAGCATCATCAGTATAAGGCCAGTTTGCTCACCGTACTTGGATAAAAAGGTACTTGTCCACCGTACTTGGACAGACAACATGATGGCTTACCTCCATCTACTCTCTTCCTCCGAGAAATGGGAGCAATTGATACTTACTAAAAATATATCATGAGCAGCACCCTGAGAAGTACAGCTAAAATTCTCTTCTTTAAAATGGCTTTTTAGAATTACATGTAAACTATAACTTTGGATAGATGATTTGTCTGTTTACTCTCCAGTTATTTACACATTGCGCTTCATATTTGGAAAGTGGGATAATTGAATTCCACTTGCCTCACAGTTGGATAAATCTTGATGATCAAATTAAGCTAAGTCCTTTGTATAAGCACAATTCTCTTTACTTCAGTTATATTTTTACATTATTTCGCCAGTTCAAATGTAAATATAGGGAAACAGTCATTAATAGTATAATATGAGTACATGAGAATAGTAACTGCTGTAAAAACTGTTATCAGAAATGTGGATTTTCTTACCATGGGCTTATTGGCCTGAGATCTTTGTTTTAGTCACAGAAAATATCAAATAACATTCTAATAGAAAGAACAGTCCAAAGTCTAGAAACAACCAGGTCTATGGTTTATAAGTCGTTTACACAAGGGAGAATGTTTCTGCTTGCATGAGGCTTCTCCAGCATAATGTGTGTAAGAAGAAAATAAGCTAATGACTGAATCTGAAATATTGATTTAATGCAATATGAATGTGTATTTGGAGAACACTCATAACACTAGGCCTGAATTTTTGATGTCTTATAGATGATGAAAAACAACTGATGAATGTGGAACCAATCCATGCAGACATTTTACTGGAAACTTACAAGAGAAAGATTGCTGATGAGGGGAGACTATTTCTGGCTGAATTTCAGGTGTGTACAATTCTTCATATGTAATAACAAATTTTACTCATTGATCAAGTGATTCTATTTTAAATCTGTCTCTATAACCATTACTTTTTATCATTTATTCTATGTAATTTTGCAACATAATTGAAGCAGAACTTGTTTCAGACATGCACAGACCAGAAGACACTCTCCTAAATGATTGACGAGATCATAATATTTAGCAAGTAAATGTTTAATGTGATGCTTTATTGCATATTCATCAATGATGAAGTTGTGTTGGAAAATGTATTCGGTTGTTTTGTGCTTCCATTCTAAATAATCATCCACGCATCTTGTCTTAAACACATTTAATTCAAATTCATTCATTTAATTTTTTTCTGAATTAAGTCTGTCACCAGTTTTTAAGGAAAAGCACTTTTATGCTTCTACTTATAAATGTCATATGGAACTTGTTTAGTAGTATCAAGAAGATAATCTGGATGACTTGTTGGACGATAGAAGAGGGGGAAGTTAATTGCCCTTAATCTGTTGCGATTTAAGACATTTTTTGTGCTTTGCAGAGCATTCCAAGGGTGTTCAGCAAGTTCTCCATCAAGGATGCCCGAAAGCCATCAAACCAGAACAAAAACCGTTATGTCGACATACTTCCTTGTGAGTACTCCTTGGGAATCGAATTTCATCCTATTGTGGCTGCTTCATTTTTCACTTATTCTCTTGTTTCTTTTATTTTCTTTAAACAGATGATTATAACCGTGTTGAGCTCTCTGATATAAATGGAGATGCAGGGTCAAACTATATCAATGCCAGCTATATTGATGTGAGTTAAAATATACCGCTAATTCCTTTATATCCTTATCATTTGCCACTGATAAATATGCGTTTTCCTGCATTCATGAACAATTCATTAACTTCCCTTGTGTCTTGGTAAAACTTAAATGCATTATTAGAAGCATTTTGAACTAACTCCATAATGACACTGTTCTAAAGTTAGTAATGTCTATAAAATCTGTTCTTTGCCATGTGCCTGTTGGTGCTAGTTGCAGCATGAGTTTCCTTTAAAAACAAATGTTAGGAAACGCTGAAGTCTTCTAGTTCCTATTAAGCACTGGATACCTGGTTAGTGATTGGTGAATTTATATCCTGTGAGAGCTCCCCATTTTCCTGCATGCTGACTGTGTTCCCCAATGGTGGTGGACGCCTTGGAAGGTTGTCAAAGGCTTGAGTTGAGAGTCAAGTCAGGTCTACTAGATATGGATCTGTTCAGCTTTGTGTAACCCTACAGTTCAGTGGTGATGGATTTGACTGACACAGACTATCCGTCTCTTGGATTTACTCCAAAATATAAATATACATACCTGGTCAATTTACCAAACATCTCTAAAGATGAAATCCATTACAATGTATCACATCAATGAAATAATCTAATAATGTAAACAATTTAAATTAGTTCAAAAATATACAGAAACTTAAAAATGTCTTCTCACCCAACCTGCCCTTTGCCCAGTGTCCTCATTCACCACACAAGGCGAGCTTTACGGGCAGTCTTTCCATTTACCGAATCAGAATTTATGTATCTGTAAGGAAGAAAACACCAACATTTTTTCTTCTTTTTTTTTTTTTAGAAAAATTTAACATGACATTCACTATATTCTCTGCCATGCGATTTTCACCTAAAACATTAGTATGGGTTCTAGGTAACAACATCAGAGCTAGGAGCTCCTAGAAAGCAAATGTTTTTGTCCATTCACTGAAGAACTGTTGATTCCATTAAAGTATGAATGAATAATACTGTGTCATGAGAGGTCCTGAAATTAATCATGAATTCTTGTAGCTCGCATGCCACATCTCATTCAGAGGGACAGCCCACCTGTTTTCTGCAGCTTCTATCGTTGCTGATATGAATGTGAGATAATTCTGGAACAAAGTAGTGTAATCTTTTCTGTCCCAGTATGCTTTCTACAGTGAAAGCAGGTATTGTAGATAATAAATTGTATGCTACTGTATTCCTTATTGTAAGTGACACATAAGTCACCTGAGGAAATCAACACTGTGTTCCAACAATTTGGAATTCTGGGTGTACTTCCAGAGATATCTGTTCAAAGAAAGAAAGAGTAAGAAATAACCTCTTAAGAAACTGTGTAGCTGGTAAGGAGTCCACATCATTGGCAGCAGTGCCCTAAGGGTCATCAGGTCATCAGCTGTTTGGAGTATTTGCACTAGTTTTGTGAATTTCTATACTACTCAGATGAGACTGAAGTCTGGTTTTGAAAGTTATTTGGAATATGCAATAGCACATAAAAATCATGGATATTATTTATAAATGGTAAAATGATTGATGTAATTAAATACCTGATCATGAATCAAGAAAATCCCATAGTAATCTTAAAAAACGCCCAGGCGTAATCCAGAACTAAAAAAGCGTTGGATCTAGAACAATTCTTCTAACGCAACTTTTCGTATTGATGAATAATTGAATGATCTCCCCATGACCTATCTTTGTGTATTTTGAACAGGGTTTCAAAGAACCCAGGAAATACATTGCAGCACAAGGTAATATGGCAGCCTGCTATTCTTTTTGAAAAATTGCATCACTGCAGTTTTACAGAACTCTTTCTAACCAGCCTTTTCATCTTTACCTCCTAGGTCCCAGGGATGAAACTGTGGATGACTTTTGGAGGATGATCTGGGAGCAGAAGGCCACGGTCATTGTCATGGTTACTCGCTGTGAAGAAGGAAGCAGGGTAAGGACAAGGCAGGGTTTGGGATTGGGAAGAGAAAGTGTTAAACTGCATTTTTAAAATGACATAGGTTTGATCAACAAAATGAGATTCTCTTTTTTAATCTTTAAACATTCAATTAAAATTGCAGACATGTAGAAAATTGAAAGCATATATACATATATATCTTTCAAGACTCATAAAATATTAAGGTTTCTGTTAATTGTCAGATTTCTATTTGAAATTCTTGGCATTTTTTGCAGTTTTGTTATACTTGTAAGTTCAGTACGTTTTGATGTGCTACCTTCAAAAGTGCTTGTGAAAATGTGAAACATAACTGACTTTGGCTAGATGGGTGATGCTCGCGTGCTAAGACATCAGATGTGACAGCCTTTCTCCCATCGCAGACCCCAGAGGATGTCCTTTTTAACTTGCAGGTTCACAAAGGGAGGGTACCCTTCTGCTGGATAGTATAAAAGGAAGTTCTCCTTAATTAGTTAGCTTTTCATCAATATAATGAAATACCTGAGACTGTTTCACTTTGTAAAAGAAAGGATGGATTCAGATCCCAGTTTTAGAGGTTCAAGTTCAAGATTTAGTGGCCTGGTTGGTTGGATCTGTGGTGAGGGCAGCAGAAAATAATGGAGAATGTGTATGTGGAGCAAGTATCGCTTGGCTTAGTCAGAAAACAGAGAGCACAGTTAGGCCGAAACCAGGCCTTTATATCAACTCTCAGGGGAACTGACTTCAAGCGCAAGCCCCTAGGAACCTTTGGATCTCCCACAGAACCCCCTGCCCCAGTACTGAATGCCAGGCTGGGATTGTGTGTCTGTTCTTTATGACGCTGGAAATATTGAATGAGCTCATTGGGAACTCACATTCAAACAGTAAAATTTCCATAGATACTCATGTGCATTTCAAGGATCCCAAAGTGTAATTATGCTGATGGAAGAATGCATACACGTTCAGAAAATTTCAGATGAATACACTTTTTGGCTGTGGTTTTTAGAAGTTTTTCAATACAATTTTTTTTACATCAAAAACCAGAATCACTAACGATGTTTTGAAATACAGAACAAGTGTGCTGAATACTGGCCCTCGATGGAAGAGGGTACCCGGGCTTTTGGAGATGTGGTGGTGAAGATCAATGAACGCAAAAGATGCCCTGATTACATCATCCAGAAACTCAGCATCACAAACGTGAGTGTGCGCCAACACGTGGCAGCCGTTTGGATGACGTTTCATGGCAATGCAGTTGTGTAATAGGAACATGGAGCTTAGAACACTTATTTAGGGCCTTAAGACAGAGAACTGGACTAGAGTAACAACCCAAGTTCAGGGGATCAAAGTTAAGACATTGTTCACAAAAGTTTCACTCCAATCCAAGCCAGAAGTATGTATTGTTGGACTCCTAATGTATTTTTAAAGGAGAATCCATTAAATGTGTTGAATGAAAGGTTAAAGTGGTAACTGAATCAATATGCAGCTCTTACTGTCAGTGAGTTCTTGCCATTATGGAAAGAGTAGTTGTGTAAAGGCTACAATGCAGACCTCGCTAAGAATTCAAAGGTTCTGACTTACAGTGGAGATAGGATGTTAGGTCAGAAAATAAAGAACTCCATGTGCCTTAGGCAACAGCCAGAAATGGAGGTCATTACACATATGATTTTATTGTGTTTATATAAAAATGTTTCTATTTCTACAAAAAAATATGGGAGTCTACAAAGAAAGTAGATTCATGGTTGCCAGGGACTGATAGTCTTTTAGAAACAGGGAGTGGCAGTGGATGGGTTCAGAATTTCATTTTGTGGTCACAGAATGTTCCGTAATGAGTGGTAGTGCTGCACGACTGTGTGAATGCAGTAAGAACAGTTTGAGAGAGCGAAGGTTATGGTATGTGAAATGGACCTTAATAGCACGGCGTAAAGCATGCAGGTCTTTAAAAGAGAACTGAGCCCTTGAATCGGATTTGTTGGAAGGCACTCAGGGATCCAAGTTGTCTTCCTCTATTGTTCAGAAACAAACAAACAAACAACAACAACAACAGACTTCCTGAGTGTTTCTCCAGACGGCTCTGAGCCTCACACGGCATTTTTACCTGCTGTGCCCGGATGGTTGTGAAGCAATCCTACCAATGGTTCCTGATGAAATGCCAAAGGGCACATACGAGAGCATGTGTAGAGGCTGACGGCCAGCTGGTTGTATTGATTAGTCTTGGATTACTGTCCTTTATTCCTGTCAGAAAATTACAATCGACATTTTTTTCTATTTCTTATTCATTGCCTTTTTTTTTTTTACCCCCAAATGTTTGTGTTTCTACTGTTACATTCATGTAGGTTTCCCCTGTTACGTCCATGTAGGCTGTTCTTCACACCTGGTCACAGAATTGTGGTTTAAGCATCCTCTGATGGTCACTCTGACATCGGGACAATTACAAGCAGAAATCAGGGTTGATTTCTCTCAATTTCCTCTCTGCATTCAGAGTTGGCAGTTCTGCTTTGTGAGGGACTAAGGAATGTGTGGACTGAGTCCCTAAACAGACTTTCCACACGTCCTCTTGTCTGACCTCTGAAGAGAAGTATTTTAAACAGCTGTGAGGATGACCTTGCCCGTTTTTCTCAGACCCCTGCTCACCACGAGCAGCCCCTTCTCCTTGCCGTGTACTTCCGGTTCCTTCCTGGGCTTGTCCGCGTGAAGGTTCCCACGAGTCCTTCCCTGACTGTGCCGCTCAGCAACTGCGCACGGAGCAGTGCGTGCAAATCCTGCAGGACATTGTAATCAGTGTCGATTAACGAAAAGAAAACTCAATTGACGTTGCAAGAAGCACTGGATGCCTGCCCCGAAGTGTGTTTTGCATGAGGGCTTTTTATGTATTGATACTCCCACACAGTTATTGGTGTGATGAATTTTTTTTCTTAAAAACAATATTTATCTCAATTAAAATTGTATTTCTTGACCAGAAAAAAGAAAAATCAACTGGGAGGCAGGTGACCCATATCCAGTTCACCAGCTGGCCTGACCACGGGGTGCCCGACGACCCACACCTGCTCCTCAAACTGAGAAGGAGAGTGAATGCTTTCAGCAACTTCTTCAGCGGCCCCATCGTGGTGCACTGCAGGTAGAGCAAGGGCTGCTTGACCGCAGGGAGCTGGCCTGTGCACATCAAATAACCCGGGGCGGTTAGAGACGGCTTCCCCTCCGGACATGGCTGCTCTGGAAGACCTGCCTTCCCTTTTCACCTCTGCTCCCTCTGGATGGCCTTCCATTCATTTCTTCTTTTATTTGCTTCCCCAGTGCTGGTGTGGGGCGCACAGGCACCTATATTGGAATCGATGCCATGCTGGAGGGCCTGGAAGCAGAGAACAAAGTAGATGTTTATGGTTACGTGGTCAAGCTCAGGCGGCAGAGGTGCCTGATGGTCCAAGTGGAGGTACGTCTGGCCTTTAGAAACAGTTTTTGTTTTCGTGGTTAAGCTTTCCAGAGTAGTAGTCATGATCTTAAAAAATAAATAAATTGGGCCCGGCATGGTGGACTAACGGCTAAAGTCCTCACCTTGAATGCGCCTGGATCCCATATGGGCGCCGGTTCCAATCCCGGCAGCTCCACTTCCCATCCAGCTCCCTGCTTGTGGCCTGGGAAAGCAGTCCAGGACAGCCCAAAGACTTGGGACCCTGCACATGCATGGGAGACCTGGAGGAAGTTCCTGGCTCCTGGGTTTGGATTGGCTCAGTACTGGCCGTTGCAGCCACTTGGAGAGTGAATCATTGAACGGAAGATCTTCTTCTCTGTCTCTCCTCCTCTCTGTAGATCTGACTTTGCATTAGAAATAAATAAATCTTTTAAAATAAATAAATAAATAAATTCACCATGTCTTCAAACTTGGGTCAAAACCGCGTTCTTTCAGTTTTGTGAAAACTAAAACATTACGTGGTCATCATCAAAGTTAGACCCATTTTATATTACTAACTAAAACACAGTACGTGAAGGGAAGATCACAAATATTTTAAACAAACAATAAAATATTAGTTCCGGGAAAAAATAAAAATTCTTTAAGTAGCTTTGATAGCATCTCAAAATATTAAAGCAGTGAAGACCACAAAATGCAGTGTACACAGCCAGACTTTTGGAACTCGATTTTCATAACTAAAATATTACCTCTATTTCCTTATAGACTGTATCCCGGGACAATTTTCAGTCCTCCTAAGGCTCAATTCATTAATAAGTTATCCACAAAATGGAAATAATGATAGCACCAACTCCAAAGATTTTTACAAGAATGGCACTATAGGTAGAGCACTCATATTGCTGGCCTGTACTCGGTGTTGAAGGACTGTAAGAAATAATAATTACTAAAAATGCCTGTTCCTAACACAGTGCTAGCATATGAATAAACTCAACCGAAACAATTGTAAACAATGCACAAAAAAAAAAAAAAAACGCCAGAAACGGGGATAAGAATGTATGCTGCACTGAGCATTCTTAGAATGGTAGAAAATGAAACCATTTCAAGGATAGATCAGCCGAGGAATGGGACACAGGCTGTCACCATGTTCACTACTACACGTGCTTGCTGCAAGGTAACAAAGAAGGTGTGTCCACAGAGGCACAAATGAAAACGTGGATGAATAAAACCATGAAAGGAAACATGAAGGGCATCATACATGCAAGTTTTACAAAAGCACACAAATATGTGCAATGTGTATGGATACATTGGTGTGAGTATAGATTTGAAAAATTGATTGTGAACCAAAAAACAAACTTTGTGGTAGGAAAATTAGCATATAGAATTAAGCTCGGGGAAGTAGAGGCATGAAAGGTGCTTCTCAGATGCATGTAATTTCCTCAAAAATATTCAAACATGCTGCAGTTTGCTTCAATATGTTCCAGTATATGCAAAAATAATCAAATATGTTGGGAGTTGGAGGTTGCTAACTTTACATCTTACTGATTTTTATTACAAAATAACTTTAAGTTTTTAAAAAGTTCTTGGAATATTAACTTGCTTCTTTTACTTCAGACATACTTTATTCTATGTAAAATAGACACATATATTATATAAAATTTAGTACAAAATGCTAAATACTATATATAGTTTTGTTTATGAGTAATTTGATTTACTAAGTAATTAGTCACCGAAGGAATATACTTTTTCTTAATTTTGTCTCTGCCTCTGAAATAAAACAAACAAAAAATATAGCTAAGCATGCATATAGACCTAGTTCATCTGCTTGACAAGCTATTCTATTTTCCTGACAAAATAGTCGGAAATGGAATGTCTGTGTATTTCAGAGAATTATGAAGACCAAGGTCCAGTTTATTTCAATGCAACATATATCAATTATCCTTTGACATATACTGTCCTAGTAAGAGTATGAACCAAATTATGTTAAGTGTATTTCATTTAACTGTGCCTCACAAAACTAGATTATCAGTTTACTAATTGAATGTTATCTTGAAATCGTAGGCACAATACATCCTGATCCACCAGGCTTTGGTAGAATACAATCAGTTTGGAGAAACAGAAGTGGGCTTGTCAGAGTTACATCCCTACCTCCAGAACATGAAGAAGAGAGACCCTCCCAGTGAGCCCTCTCCCCTCGAGGCGGAATTCCAGGTACCTGTAGGAATAACAGGAAAGGGGTCTTGAGTGGAACGGAGTGCTGTCTGCTTGCCAGTGCTTGCCATGCACTTGACCCAGTTCTAGAATTTAGTCCTTACCCTAAAGAAGACAAAATACCTAGAAGAATTTAACAGGATACCCGATTCTTAAGGCATTGTATTGGAAACTTGTTCAAACCTGAAGTGTGATTTTACCAGTAGTGTTTTAACCATTCGTTATTCTACCACTAACACTTTGAAGCATTCCTTATTAAACTGGTATTTTCACAAAGTGTCAAAATAGCATAAAGCCACACGATTGTTCTGCTAAAAACAGTGTTGGATCTCACTTTTAGAAGCTGCATCTGGTTTTGATTTGTAAAGGAAACAATTAGAGGAGTTGATGATTGCTTAGGAAATTGATCAGGCTGGAGCTGGTAGACAAAGTCAAGGATAACTATATGTATCCCACCTATTTTGGGGGCAATTATTCAGCCTGCTAGCTTAGGGTATAGCTCACTGTTACCACGGGATTGCGATAGTGGTCCAATTGCCAGAAAACATTTTGCAAATTTTTTTCTTCCATCTATGAAGTCTAGTTTTATTGAGTCTTTCTGTAAACTCCTGGACAGACCAATTCAGAGAGCTTTCCATGAGGCAGCAATGTGCTTTTAGTAGGTCACAGAATGAGTTAGATCAAACTGGGACTAAGGTAGTTCAAACCTTGCCTGAGGGAAGTAGTGAAATGTTTTATCTAGGCTGAAGGGAGATGGAAAGTGAAGGTGGAGATGCAAGTTGGCTCATAGATTTGCAGATGAGATGTTAGGGCAGCTCTCGCCTCATTACCTGCATTTCTCAAGAAGATAGGAGGTGAGATCTCACATCCTGTGCACAGCAGCAGGTGCAGGGTGCAGGTGCAGCTGCAGGTACAGCAGTGAAGAGGGCAGAGAAGAGTTTAATGCTTGGGGTGTGAAATGATTGCCTTTAAGTAGGAATGAAGTCTCCCTACACAAAGGTAATGAGGTTTCAGGAATTATTGTGACTATTCAAAATACAATGAACGGCCCATCAGACACGTGTGTGGCTTTTTCTGTAACATTGTCCTTCCTAGGTGGAGAGACTGTACAACTCTAGATAGTGGGGTTAAACTCTTCTGGGTTTTGAAAGGAAGCTATTGAAAAATAGGAAGCAAAGGGGTGGTAAGTGTTTACCGACGATGGTAGCTGTGGATAAAGAACAGTGACTTGTTCAAATGAAGGACAAGAGGGAAATTTCGTTTGAGTTGCAGTTCATAAGGCTGCAGACACCACAATAAAGGAGGAAGAAAGAATTAAGGACATCTTCCATGATAAAAGTGGTTGGAATCGTGATTTCAGAGTTGTTGTTTAGAATCAGACTGGCAGGTTGAGGATGGTGATGAGGCATGACTGCAGTGAGGGGGAAAGGCTGTAGCAGGTGGCGACCGTGGGAAATGAAGAACTTGAGTGTAGAGCAGGACACTTTAGTCCTTTGGAAGAAAGTAAGGATGATAAGCAGAGAATGCAGTTATCCAAGTCTAAACTAAATGAGAGGAAGTGACGCAGACATCACTTCTGAACACCAGCACCTGACATCTCTGAGTGAAGGGCAGTAGAGAGAAAGCTGTGCAATGTAAGAGCAGGAAAGTGAAAGTTCGGACTTCTGAAATAAAAATGAGTAGAAATGGTTTGCAAGTGGAAGCAAGGAGCTCTTTGAGGTATGTCAGCTTTTTCCTAAAAGGGCAACGGTTCTTGTGGTTTCCTCAGGAGACACAGAGTTCATTTATTTTTTTTATTAAAAAAAACGATAAAAAACAAAAACAAAAACAAAAAAACGAGAAAGGGACTGCTGAGATATGATGATCAGGGTGTCCTAAGGACAGACCCCAACACCAGTGGGCAGAGACAATGTTACTGATTAATGAGGTGTACTTGAAAGTACAAGAAACCATTTAGGAAAACAAAATCTGGGTGTATGGATGCACTGAGGGGCTTGGTCTTGTTGTGGGGAGATGAAACAAGGAAGGTTTGAAGAGGGAAGATGAACTGTTCATTTTACTTGTAGTCACTGACAATGGCGGGAAACTGAGGTGACATGGTGGGCAGTCTCAGGAAAGCATAAGGTGTGATGCTTCACTTGGCATCTTGCCTTGCACACAACTCACAGAGATTGTGCAGTGACCTGGCATGGACTCAGTGGTGATCTCATTCATTCATTGGACTGCATGGTTATTCTGTAGGGTTTGAGAGAGTGCTTGTTTTATTAGAATGAGGGTACCACACTAAGTATGGTACACATGGACACATGCATACATGTATATATGTGCAAAATCATGCTGGATTTTCTGAGATTTATGTCTAGATTATTCATAATGGTGCACATGCTATCATCGTAAAATATTAAATGCCTTCCACTTGATGAAGAGCTTTATAAAACTATTGGAAAGAGAGCTCTAGACATAGAGGCTTTCCTGAAGAAATGGCCATTAAAAGTGATATCAAAAGTGAAGGACAGGTTACCGAAGTAACCAAAAGGGCAAGACTTGTCAGCCAGAACAAGCATGTGTCTACTACGAGCTAACAGATTGGAGCCTTCTGAGGATTGGGGGAGTTGGTTTGGCTTAAGAGACGAGGCTCCTACAAGGGACAAAGCTGGAGAGAGAGTCAGCAAGCATCCCACAAGGCTTTTGAGGAGACTCGCTGTTTGCTCACAATGATGCAAGTTGCAGACAAGCCTGGGAGGAACACGTCCTGTTTTGTATTTTAGAGGGATTAGAACAAGCATGGCGGAGAACTGAGTCTGCTTAAGAAACCTAGATGTTTTTCACATGACAGTGAGGGCAGACCAGGCTAAGCAGTAGGGAGGGAAGTCAGGATCTCTGGGCTGAACCAGGCGAAATGACTGATCTTGTTGGCTGACTGGTTACTAGGAATGAGAAGGACAACAATCTGGAGGGGAAAAATGCATGGCATGTTCACTTTCTAAGCTTGTACAAAGTCTCCTTAGAGTTATTTCTGGCCAGTCAAAATAGTTTATTATCAGTTTTGCAATGGGGACAATAGTCAACATTGGTACAGCAGTCTCAACACACATTCCTACACTGCTTTGTTGTCAAGAGCCTTCACATGGGAAACATGTTCTGTATGTAGTTGTGGGATTTTAGTTAAAACTCATCATGTCAAAACTATTAAATTCTTGAATATTTAAAAGGAAAAATTCAGAGGTAAACTAAAAAAAAAACCCTGGTGAGTAGTATGTGAAATTTTCACAAAAAAATGATGAAATGTTTTTCTTTGGGGATTGTCTTATATTTCAATAATAGATAAAGTCAATATTTTGATTTTGAAGGAATTTTCCATTCCATTTTTTTTTCGCAGAGACTTCCTTCATACAGGACCTGGAGGACACAGCGTGTTGGAAATCAAGAACAAAACAAAAATAAAAACAGGAATTCTAATGTCGTCCCATGTATGTAGTTTGTTACATTTTTTATTTCTATTGGAGACAATTAAACTTTGTTTAATGTGAGCCATGGACATGGAGTGATGATCATAAGCAGAATGAAGCCCATGTCCTGTGTATCCCTGGACTTTCCGGTCCTGGTTCTGCTCAAGATTCCAGTTTCCTGCTGAAACACATGCAGGAGGTGCCGGAGGTAGCAGGTGGTGGTTGAAACATGAGCATTCCTTTCTCCAAGGTGGGAGGCGGAATGGAGTTCCTGGCTCCTACCTCCCTGGGTTGAAGTTGGCTTAGGAATGAGTCAGCAGAACAAAGCTCTGTCTCCCTGTGTCTCTATCTCTTGCCTTTTAAATAGATAAATAAGTACAAATTGTAAAGCAATTTGGTTACAGCAAGTGCTTTAAACTCCAGACATTTACAATGGACTTTGGAGATAGGTTCAATGTTTCCTTCCTATCAAATAACTCAAAAGCACATTGTCAAAGAAAAAGTTCTGAAATTGGGAGAAAAAAAAGACCAAATCCCCTATCCCAATTCTATTTCATCTTCTGTTTATTGATATATACTTCCTTCAGAGTGAGTGTCAAACATTAATTTTGTTTATCTTCTGTTTTCTGTTAATTCCTAAGTATGTGAGACTCAATATGAGGAATACTCTATTATAAACTTTCAGGCTTAACATTTAGCAATTCAAACCTGTGAAGTTTCCAAAACTTTAATTGTAATATTGTGCTATGTAAGCACATATATAAGATCCCATCTGGTACTGTTGTAATTTTATTCAGTTGCACACACTAAAATTAGCATGGATACAATACAAACCCAACTAATAGGCCAGGTAAGCAAATAACCAAATCAGTACATGGTTGGCCTAGTTATTTTCTGCCAAAGTCCTGATAAATGAAGTGTAAAATATTGAATTAATGGTGACATGGTTTGTCAGATAACTTGTCCCATTAGTATAAAAAAATTGAGAACCTATGAAAGAACTAAAAAAGTAAAAAATGATGGCCTAGACAACTTTCTGAACTAAATAATGATTAACCTGATATATCCACTTAGCTGAACTTATTAACTTAATGCAACATACCTGAGAAACAATAAAATCTAGGACACTTAAACCAACAAACAAGAAAAAACTTTAATCAAACAAAATGATGCTATTCCAAAGAAAATGGAAATACATGTTTCCAGGATTCAACTATGATTGTGAGACTTCTTTTTTTTTTAATACAGCTAAAATCCATGCATTTTCCTGGATTTATTTGATAAATTACTTTTCCTTGACTTGCTTTTTTAACAATTCCTGACTCATTCAGTCTTGAATGTTAGGTAGGATCACATTCCATGCCGGCCAATAAATTCACATAATGCAGTCTGTCTGTTCTGAATGACTTTTTAATTTCCATCCAGCAATCAGGCAGAAATCCAATTTGTTAAAGAAGACTTACTACTAATTAATCTCTACAGATGACTTTAACAGAGTGGCACTGAAACACGAGCTGGAAACAAGCAAGGAGAGTGAGCACGATTCAGACGAGTCATCTGAGGATGAGAGCGACTCGGAGGAAACAAGCAAATACATCAATGCCTCCTTTGTAATGGTAGGTATTGAGGTTGACAATCCTATCTACGTCATGAGGGCCTTTCAGAAAACAGTTCAAGTACATACTGCCTGGGACGAAAGCTTCCATTTTTAATACTGTATTTTAACTATGGAAAGATGTAAAGAATAAAATTCTATAAAATTGATGCAAAATAAGACTTGGCTATTACTGATCAGTTGAAATGCCAAATTGGCTATTACCATTTTCTTTTTTTTTAAATTAAATGTCATTGTTTAAAAAATGTTTATACTTAACAACCTGAACTATAGACAAATCCAAATTTAAGCATTCATATAATAAAAAAAAAACTTTTCATTCAGGGTAATTCAATACATACTGTAATTTTAAGAAATTGAGAATTCAAAGAAGAAATTTTTTTAGTCATTTAAGACATTCTAAATAATAAATAGAAATTGTACGACATTTTTCTTTTTCACCTTCATAGAATACCAGTTCACTTGGAAAGTATCATATGCATATGTAGCATCAACTAAAGACATAATGATGACAATATGAAAAAATTCCCTCCCTACCATTTACAAACACATGCATTTTAATTAGGGTAAAGATGGCGGGTTTTATTGGTAAATAAAACGTGTTCATTTTGTAAGATCATATGTCTTCCTTTTGATTTAATACTACTAGAATTATCATGATCTGAAAACTCATATTAAACATAGATATCACATTGCATCTTGGACCCCAACTCTTGATACTTTTGTGTCTCAACATCAATGTCAAGCTGTGTTTCTGCATGATTATCCTAAAATCCTACTGCTCTCTCTTCCCTAGCAGTAACACTGAAGTTCCAACCACATGAACCCTTGCTGTTTTATTTGCTCTTTTTCAGAGTTACTGGAAACCTGAAGTGATGATCGCCACTCAGGGGCCGCTGAAAGAGACTGTCGGTGACTTTTGGCAGATGGTATTCCAAAGAAAAGTCAGCATTGTTGTTATGTTGACGGAGCTGAAGCAGGAAGACCAGGTTTGCATGTTGAAGAATTTGTTGTTTCTTTTTTTATTGCAAAATACCATTCAGCATCCTAGATCACTTTCTGGATTGTTGTAGCTGCATCTTGGCTCTGCGGCACAAATCCGCATGTCCAGTCTTACCCTGACGTTGGAGTGCGGGCTCCATCCCCTGGGTTGCAACTCCTCCAGGCTTCCTGTTTCCTTTTCAGAATGGCAGGCTGCTCACCACATTTCTAGTGTCACAATCAAACGGCAACACCATCCTTGCATTTCATCCCAGATAAAATCCCAGTGCCTTGTGTGACATTTAAAATCCTTCTCATCACTTTCCACATTCTGCTCCTTTTTGTTTGTTAAGGTACCCCCACTTTGGCAAGGGGGTCACCTGGGTGAATCACACCTTTCAAAAGCTCCTCACTGAAGATGAGCCTATTGATGTCCCAATTTATCTGACTGTGCTTTTTCTCCACATTTTCATGATATTCTTCTAAGAAGAAAGAAGTCCTGAAAAATGTATCCATCTCTTTTATTCCCATGTGATTTTTGCCATAATATTCTATAGTTGGAAGCAAACCTAGGCTACCTGTAATCTCTTAATTAATGCCCGTGGCATGTGTTTGATCTTTTCCTTAATGCTTCAAATAATTATTACGTTTTCCCTGGCAGGGATGGCGATTGTTGTGGGGCTGTGGTCATGGAGAATATTGTTTGTAGAAAATGGTAACACTGTGACCATTCATCTATCCTCCAGATTAGACCTATCCTTATACACTCAGTTGACACAGAGCAGCTCAGGCGTTGGTCACCAAGACAGAGACAGGTCTCTGAAAGGGGCAGCCTTCTTCCTCAATGGTTTGGAAGGACAGTGGGACCTGGGTCACACAGACGCTATGAACATCACCTGTTATGTCTTTACAGACTATCCATTAGGCTGAATGGAAGGGAGGGGCAAATGTCAGAGACCTGCAGAAGGGCAGGCAGAGGTGTCTCTTGATGTTCTGCTGCCTGACTTTTCCTGAACTTCCTCTACTTCCACGAGGAAACAGATATTTGATAAGTGGGCCTCCAATGTGCCTGAAAGAGAGTTGCAATTTTTATGAGCAAGTTGCTGTTTTAGGGAACAACAGTTTTCATTTAATAGAAAGGCGGGAAGGGGCAAAGAGGGAGATGGAGAAGTAAGGAGAAAGAGAGAAGATGGATGTTTGGAGTACTTTAAAGAACAGAATATTCAGATAAGAGTTGTTGAACTATCGTCTTTCTTATCTAGGAAATCTGTGCCCAGTACTGGGGAGAAGAAGGGAAGCAAACATACGGAGACATAGAAGTTGCAGTGAAAGACACAAATAAGTCCTCAGGTTTTACTCTCCGTGTATTTGAAGTCAGACATTCCAAGGTAAACAAACATTTCAGAAACACATCTCTTTGATGTACGGGGTCTGCTAGCAAAATTCACATACCCTCTGCAAGCAAAGCCACCGTCTGCATAAAGCCTCATTTAAAAAACTATTTAATGAAAACATACCATCACAAAGTAAATGTGCCTAGGAAATTACAAAACAATTCGGACTTCACTCAGTCTGCCGCCTCTTCTGCTTTCAGAGGAAAGAGCCTCGCACCGTGTACCAGTACCAATACGCTAACTGGAGTGCAGAGCAGCTTCCCGCAGAACCCAAAGAATTCGTCTCTATGATGCAGAGTCTCAAACAAAAACTGCCCAAGAAAAACTTCGCTGACCGGAACAAACACCACAAGAACGTGCCTCTGCTCATTCATTGCAGGTGGGTGGGGTGGGAAGATCGCCCTAAGAACCCCCACGATGGCCTGACTCCTTCTTCCACATTTATTCTGGCATTGAACTTATACTTGCCGACACAGCAGGTGACCACAGGGGAAACGACTTGTGAAATGAGTCCTTCTCGGTTCCCATAGCACAACTAGTATAAATGTAACAGAAAAGATCATATTTTAGTGCCTTGCTTTCATCGCCATGCTACGTTGTCTTCGATTCTCACTTTCTAGTGGTGACTCCAGAAAGTCACCGGCACGGTCTGAATTATTGTTGGAAGAATGCACAAGCAGACTGGCGAATGGGTGTCACAGTGCATTCACGCTCTCGTGTGCTTCTCCACTCTAGGAGATGTCACAACAGCTGGACGACTGATGACTTTGCATCTGATAATCACTAGTCAAATGTTAGCTTATATCCCAGCGTTCAGCAAATGTGACTTGATACCTGTAATTGGATGGTTAAACAGATCCAAAACACAATCATAGAAACATGAAAAGGACAATATTCACCAGCTCTTTAGTGGAATCCCATAAGCGGGAATAGTTGCCTACTTATCAACCTCAAGGAAAAAGAGTAAAAGAAGTTTGCATGACGCTAAAAAGTTTACGTGGGGAGAATATCAAAGGAAATCAGAAGTAACAGTAAAGTAAAATGGAAATATAAATCTAGTGAAATGCTTTTAGCGTTTTTGAAAATGTCCTGTTAGTGCTGGAATGACACATATTAGAATCCAGATGTTAGAGACATTGCTTCTTGTACTTATTTGGCTGCCCACATGTGAAGCTCAAGTGCAAAGAAATCTTCATAATGAAACTTTGGGCTCTCAAACGATGTATATCTCATTGGACATGGTTGAATACCTACTGTCTGCTCCTCAGTATATATGATCAAATATACTGCAGATGACATGCAAATTAAATTAAATATTCATTATGTCTTGTACCCTCCATAGCTTAGTAATTCATTTGATGGTTCTTACTTTAATGAATAAATCTGCTGGGCATCACCTTTTTCCTGATGCATTTTTAAAAGTGGTATAGAGAGGCTCCAGCATGGTAGCCTAGTGGCTAACGTTCTCGCCTTGCATTTGCTGAGATCCCAGATGCATACAGGCTTGTGTCCTGGCTGCTCCAGTTCTCTTCCACTTCCATGCTTGTGGCCTGGGAAAGTAGTAGAGGATGGCCCAGGGCCTTGGGACCTTGTACCTGCATGGGAGACCCCAAGGAAGCTTGTGGCTCCCAGCTTCAGATTGGCTCAGCTCTGGCCATCGTGGCCACTTGGGGAGTGAGCCAGCAGATGGAAGATCCTTCTGTCTCCTTCCCTCTGTAAATCTGACTTTCCAATTAAAAAAAAAATGAATAGAATGTTTGAAAAAACAAAAGGCGGTATAGAAAAGTAGACGAATGAAAAAAGGCTATTAACTAACTTACAAATATATATGGCCTGATATTTCCAGTCTCACCAGTTCCTAGCTATTCCTTACCCCCCAGAAAATCATGGCTCTCCGTTCTATCCAATTGGTATTAAGATATCGATCGCAATGACTTCAGATGTCAAGAAGAAAGCGCTGCGATCCAAGAAGCGCGTGTAGTCAAGGCTCAGACAAATATTTCCTAAACAACAGGGTTATCATGGTCTCAACTTGAAAAGGTGTCCCCTCCGACAGCATTTAGCAGATGTAACTCAGCTCTTCAAAGACGGTAATAAAATCATTGTAATTAATGAATAGCTTTTAATAAAAGGATACTCGTTCCCTACCTGTTACATACTATTCGACGACTGCTTTTTGCTATCCTCCATGAAAAGTGTAATTATTTTCTGTGTTGTTGGTCTTTTTCTTCCTCTAACAGAGATGGGTCTCAGCAAACGGGCATATTTTGTGCCTTGTTAAATCTCATGGAAAGTGCAGAAACAGAAGAGGTTGTAGATGTTTTTCAAGTCGTGAAGTCTCTACGCAAATCTAGGCCAGGAATGGTCTCCACATACGTGAGTATATCTCTTTGCTTTTAGTGCCTTTAGTTCAAGGGTGCCTTCCTTCATATCCATCCTTACCCTGCTCTCCCTCCCTCCCTCCCTCCCTCTCCTTCCCTTCTTCATCTGTTCTTTCTTCTGTTTTGCATTATAACCCACACCACTTATTTTCACTATAAGTGAGAGACCTAAGTCAGCTTTGTCTGCAGTTTGATGTGACGGTTGTTGAAGAGTGTTTCCTGAAATGCTCATGACTTTGTTTCCATCTCCTCCCCTTTAGTCCTGTGTCCATTTATGCTGCTGTGTAACCAGTGGCCTCAATGATCAGGGGCTTAAATGGGTAACATCAATTAGGGTTCACTCGTGTGTAGTTTTGCTGGATTCTCAACCTGATCTTCTTAGGTGAGCCAGTCAAGAGATGTCTACTCCTACAACTGTGACAGTTGATGGTCTGCAGGGGTCTGGCTGGTCTAACTTTTCCTGCCAGGAAGGCCAGCAGTTAGCTGCCATCTAGCTATGCGGTTAGAGAAGCATCTGCTTCTCTTCTCCCTGGAAGATGAGCAAAGTCTTCTGCAGGGACAAGTAGCAGAGTTTTAAGAAGGAGAACAGACCCAGCTGGCAGTCTTAGGGCTCAGGCTTGCACATGAGCCATGCATCTCCCTCTAACTTTTATTAACCCAGCACATCTCAAACCAGCCCAGATTTGAGTCTGGGAAATAAAGTCCACCTCCTGGTGCTAGGACCTGTGATCACACTGAAAATATGTTTGTACACAGCTAGAATAATCCATCTATCTTTCTATGCAGTGGTAACTGCAGGTGGTTGTGAGGGAATTAATCAGTATCCACAACATAAGGGTAATTGCTCATTGGAATATGTGAAAGGTATAAGAACATGAGTGGGGCACTGGGTTAATATAGGAAACAGGAAGGGCTTCTTCAAGCAGGCGATTCCCTCCTGGAGTCCTCAGTGATGCCCTGGCATTGGACCAGGAGCAAACAACTGGCACCCTGGGGACAGGTGTGGGGCTGAGATAGACAGTAGCCTGCGGGCGAGGGGATGACACCAGTTGGGTGTTGCTGTAAGACACAGCTTGAATGATTTTCCACAGGTGATCCTTTAGACTTGTAAGGAAACCAATTCATCTGGAGTGTTCTTATGAAAATATGCCAGAGTACTTTTATATCAGCCAGGGTTTCCACAGGCAAATGATGTGTTCCTGTTCGTTTCTATGTGACAAAAAGTAATGCCATCTACTTTGTTCATGTAATTTTTGGCTGCTTTCTATACCAGGAGCAATATCAATTCCTGTATGACATCATTGCCAGCACCTACCCTGCCCAGAATGGACAAGTCAAGAAACACAGCAACCAAGAAGATAAAATCAAGTTTGAAAATGAGCTGGACAAAGCAAAACAGGATGGGAATTGCATTAGTTCCCCAGATGTCCAAGATAAGACCCAGGAAGGGAGCAAAGAGGCTGAAGATACGGAGACAACAGGCAGCCCTGAAGAACCAGAACATTCTGCCAATGGCCCTGCAAGTCCGGCTTTAACTCAGAATGCATAGGCACAGACATAGGTGCAGTAACTCAAACAAGAGGGCAGAATAGGTACAAGTGAGTTAATGATGTGCATTGGACACGTGTGCAGGAAGCCTTTGTTTTACTACTTCTGGAAAAGTATTTAAGATAGTTTTGCTAAGAAGTTCTGTACAGGTTTATGCTTGCTTTTAGATTTTGTCTGCCACTGAACAAACCCACTTCTCTGCTGTCTGTGTGTGTGTCTGTGTGTGTCTGTGTGTGTGTGAATATAACTTTCAAGCGAATCCCAGTGTGCTTGAGAAACTCTGTCTTTTCATTTTTTTGAAGGAAAAACCTCTCCAATTTTATATAGAAAGTGTTACCTAAACTTGAAGGATCTACTTTTAAATCACAGCTTTCACACGGACTATGTAAGAATAACATGTACATTTCTAGAATGACCTCAAGATGTCCTCCTTGTTCTATTCATATCCATCTTTAAGTTTAGACTTCTACAAAGTGTCTATAAAAGTAGTATGGGTGAATGTTGTTACTATGAAAAATTTAACAGAGTTAATATTTGGCAATCTTATGTTCCATATGTTATCTTTTAGTTCTATAACTTTTAAGCATATTTAATCTAATTTTAAAAACCTAATTGACTTTTTTGCTATATCACCGGGGGTTTACAATTTTGCCACAGATATTTTCTGTACACAGATGAAGTTTATTGCTTGTGACTTTGGACCAAAAATGATGCTTGTTACATAGTATGTTTCAACTCAAATAAATATCTTTAAATACTTGTAGTAAATATTGAAACTTGTAGGATAAAAATATAGCATGAAAATGTTTTTTTGCAAAGTGTTACATGCTACATCTTACGTATTTTTATAGATATCAACCTTGATTTGAAAATATATTCCATGTGTATATTTCTCATGTCAAAATCCATTCTTTTGTTTAAGTACTTTTACTTCAGGCTTTCCAAATGCTAAGACTACTTTATCAGGAATTAATATCAATTATCATAATAAAATGCTATTATCTATTCTTATTTATAGTATATCAAGCATGTTATATAGTATTATGGTAAATAGCATGCACCTATAAAAATATAGATTTATTGCAATGAATGACATTTGCAGAATAATTTTGCAGTACATTTTTAAAGATATATTCATTTAGAAGAGTTACGGGAAAGACAGACTTGTAGAGAGACAGGGGGAAAGTTCTTCCAACCACTGACTCACTCTCCGAGTGGCCACAATAACCAGAGCTGAGACCATCTGAAGATGGGTGCCTCTTCCCAGTTTCCCATGTGGGTGCGGAGTCCCAAGGCATTAGGCTGTCCTCGACTGCTTTCCCAGGCCACAAGTAGGGAGCTGGAAGGGAAGTGGAGCAGCCATATTGGATCCCAGAGCATGCAAGCTGTGGACTTCAGCAGCCACTAGGGCCCTGCTTGCTTTTATATGTTTTCATTATACATCAACCAACTGCTTTCTGTGGAACTCAAGTTGTTTTGTGTTCCGACTTCTAATTCTCTCATTGTCATAAAGCACAATTGACGATTAATCGTTAGGCTGTTATATAGTTTCTTGTCTTTATTTAACAAACTAGAAAGAAGGGAATTTTATAGTGAAGCGCCACTTTCTGCTTTATATTAAGGTTACCTATGAGGTATTTACTGGGAGTGGGGGTAAAAGGAGGAGGTGAGAACCACCTAAAATGGGCGTCAGAGAGCCACGCATCTTGCTTTCCCTCTGTCAGCTGTGAAGTCTTTCATGCCCATGTCTCCTGTTGGAGCTTTGTCCACTGTCACTTACTGGATGGCTTGGTGAACAGGTGCAGTTCTGTTGTCAGAAGACAGGAAGGCTGTCTGAGCTGTCTGAGTTACTGCAAGACACACATAGCAAAACTGATAGATTTGAAATAATCTCTGTGCTTTTAGAGCGTCGAACTGCAAATTACACTTTTGAAAGGCAGATCAGACTCCCATTTCCTAGATGTAGGATCCACACGCCTCCCTTAAGTTCTGTGCCTTTAGGAAGCAGGTAGGACGTACTTCCTTTTCCTCGGCCAGTCAGAGGCTGTGCTGGGGCAGTGATGCAGCGGTCACCCCGAGGAAGGCAGCTCTGTGAGCATAGGCCAAGGTTGGGGCCAGTACAGGAGGATGTGGCAATACCTGTTTATGAATGAACTATATCTGTTTATACATGAACTATAGCCCCAGTGTAGTGCCTGTGGATTGTATTTAAAGGAATCTATTGCATGATATAAAAACTTTCCTTGTTGAAGTTTGGTACTGCCACTGTACATTTCAAGGCCTAGTCAGAAAAATTAAGCAAAAGTTCCAAGCTTAAAAATTGCAGTACATATAGAGGATGGATTTTTGAGTCTCAATCTGAAAAGTCCATGAAAAATGAAATTTAGATATTTCCTCACAAAATTCTTTGGAAATGCATGCAGAGGTTCTTGGTAATATGCAGTTCCAAAAATTTTTGAAAATCTCTTCATATGGTTAATGGCACAATTGCTGTATTTCTGTGAAATTTTCTTTCTTTCTGGTACTGGAATTTGTTGACACTAAAAGGCGTGTTTAATCATATTTTCTATCTACCTGTGCAACAGTATTCTTTTTCTCTTTGGCTTGTTGAACATCATGGTTAGTTGGGCATTAACCCTGTCATGACAAAGTTAATTGAAATTATGCTGTTGTAAAAATAAAAGGAGAAAAAGATAGAAGGAAGAGATATTGTTGAGAGAGGTAGAGAGGAAGCAAAAGCATGGTTATCGTCTTAGAGTTATACCTAGAAAATACAGAAAGCATATTCTCTATACTAATACAACATGTAAAAATTCAGCTCTCAAGCCAATAACTTTGTATGTAAGTGGCACATGCATAGTTTTATACCAGAACATTTGCACGCAATAGTGAAGCTATGTGAGGTACCTGGAGGAGTGCCTACACAAAGGTCATTTGGAAGTGCAGGTTGCTCTCAGATTTCTAACATTTGCACAATAAAACTTGTATGTCTGTTTTTGCATTTTTCTACTAAAACATTGAGTATGAAGTTCGTAATTTGTTACAACTAAAATCGACATTACTATTTATTCTATACTGGAGACTTGTTGTAACATGTTCTAATGATAGAGAACTCGCAGCTCCAAAGGAAATGCAGAGGGAGTTGGAGTAACTGCCCTCACTTACAAGTACCACGCTTCATGATATCAATGCATCCAAGTGCACAACTTCAAAGCACGTGAGTTACTGATATTAACAGGAAGGTTTCCTCCTTCTTTCCGCAAGGTTTACACCTGCAATGAACTGAAGATTCTTCAGAGACACATCAGAAACTGGGTCTTTTTAATTCCAAATTTTAATGAAAAGATGTACTCTGTAAGGGTTCAGTTTTGTTTGTTTTGTTCTATTTTGTCTTTTTATGGAACTCCCCGTTTTTCTTTTTACAATTATCCTTTGCCTGAATCAAACATTTTTTGTAAGGTTTTGATTAATATGTTTAGTACAATGAAATGCTTTCAGCAAAGGAACTATTCTTCCCCTAAGATCACCAAAGATGAACTCTTCTCAAGCTATCTGTCGTTGCTTTCTTTGTGACAACTTGGAATTCAGTAGTTAAATAAAATATGAGACACTCAGCTAAAGCTGAACTTCAAATAAATAAGAAATAATGTTATACTATAAATGCATCTCATGTAATATATGGGACAGACACTAAGCAAGTATTTTTGTCAACCAGATTTTAAAAATATCAATTGTATATGTATATATTATGTATATAACATATCAACATATACATATATATGAGATTTTTTTTTTTACAAAATATTGCAACACTAACCTGAAAGGACCCACCAGAGCTATTTCATTTAAAAGGATATCAGAGACTAGCTTTAATGTTTACCTTTAGTGAAAACAGTATCTGTATGCAACAGCTGGGAATACAGTTCCTCTCCCTGCTAAGCATGATCCTAGGATGAAAAGTGTGAATGGAAACAACTCGATCAGAGGGTGATTTCCTCTCTTACCACTTATGAATAAAACGTAACAATAATAATTATGAGTAACGCTTTGAGGCTCAAGACTAGTGCAAGCCAGATAGTTAATTTCTCTTAGCTCTGGGCCACACAGGACAACGGCTGATAGCCAGAACAGTCTGGAAGCTGACTAAAAGAAGGTCAGTGCCAGAGCCCAGATTTGAGCCAGCTCCCACTGGCCCCATGTTCCGTGCTCATGACGTCCTGCGTATCTGTCTTTGGGGAATCAACTTGGCTTATGTGCTCTGCAAAACGAGTGTACAGAGACCAGTGTGGCTGTGCTTTCGTTGCTGTGTGATTAAAACAAAAAACCGTGGGTACTTTAGCAACATTGTGCAACACAGTAAGCTTATCCGAATTCACAGTGTGGAATTTGTGACATGAAGAATAAACACACTGTTCAGCATCTATGGGAAAGAACTGTTCTCCGAATGCACATAAACAAAAATCACCCCGTCACCAAAGTGGGTGCCAGGAAATGAAACACACCAAATCGCAAATGTCATGTTCCATTGTCTCACAATTTGGTAATCAGAGCGAGTCCTTGCTGTTCGGATCACATTGCAGTGTGTTTGTCAGAGGATACATCAATCAGCATTTAAAACGAGTTTCTAGGACACCACGAGATCCAAACCACGTCTGAGGGGCGTGTGACTCACTTGCTCCAGCTGGAGTAGACCCTGAATCCAGGGGACCTCTGTTCCCAGGAATGGGCTGTCCCCAAAGCTGGAATGTCAAGAAACTGGACCTAGACCACATGTCTCCCTCTAGGAAAATCACGTTTCTTCACTCACGTGTATCCTTTGTATGCAGTAAAGTAGGACACCTGGCAAGCTATAACCTCACTTTTCAGAAAAGAGGAATTTGTTTAGTCAATAGCATTTCTCATATCTGAGCAACAAATCAGATCCAAGTAATCAGATATCCTCTTGAAGATGGTCTTGAGGCTCGGTGGATTGTAGTGCATTGAATGATCCGTTGTGCATACTCTGTGGAATGGGTAGCTGTGGCACTAGGAAGCGAAGCGGTTGCCCATTGTAACACACGGAGGACAGATGAGGAATCTGCTTACTCGCGGGTCCTGTCCTCAGCTGCCCAACGCCGGCTTGAGTAGGGGCTATTGCAGGATGCGCTTCGCTAACTGTGAAGAATTATTCTGAGTAATTGATAATTCTGATTTTTTTTTTTTCATTCACACAGAGTACAGCATTTGTCATGAATGGTATTTCAGGACTCGTGTTGTATGTTAAAAATTGTAAAGCAAGAAAGAATAAGATATTCTGTGAGAACGAAAAGTAACACGTCATTTTAAGAAGGAACATCCATTTATGTGTAGTTATTTGTTCTCATTGCTTTGATCAATGATGCAGAAGCGCTGAAGCCGAGAGCAAGGATGCTTTGTCCTAATCAGCAGAACCAAAAAGCCAGAGCTTCTCAGTGCTTGCCTGGACTCTGCACTGAGTTATTTCAATTGATTGGGCAAGTGAATCTGCCATTTCCCAAGCACTGCAGTGGGTTCTAGTGGGTAATGAAGGGTACCAGAAAAGAGTGGCTAAATCGCTAGGGCCATGCTCCACGGGACATCTTGGCACCAATACCTTCCACATTCCTTTTTGAAAAGCAATGCTTTGCCTTACACTCTTGCCACCCAAGTGCCTTCTGGGGGTTATCCAACTCTTCACCTGACCGTTGTCCCAGCAGCCACATCTCAGCCTAGCCCTCTCACTCTTAGTGGCCCTGGTGAT